GTCTCCACGTGCGAAGAGAGACGTTTTAGTCGGGCCTATGCATTGGCTTTCCATATCGATGTTACCAAAGCGGTATTTGTCTAACGCAGGGGCGGGGAACCTTTTTTTCTGCCAAGGGCCATTTGGATATTTATAACATCATTCGTGGGCCATACAACATTATCAACTTAAAAATTACCCTGTGAAATTTGGTCAAACATTTAATGAACTCACCCCTAATGTGATGGCTGGAACTGCTTCTCTTTAGCGAGGCGTGTGATGTTAGCTGGTATTGATGATGATGTTGCTACTCGCAACTGCTTTTCCAGGTTTGCCCCTAGATTTATTGAATTTCGAGTCCCGCCTGCGGTTGCCTTGGCAGGGCCACACCAAATGATTTCGCGGGCCTTATACGACCCGCGGGCCGGACGTTCCCCACCCCTGATCTAAAGCAAGAAAACCTTTAATCGGTTTGGATATTGTTTGGCCTCATGGGCTCGTTAAACGAATGCTGCTGCATCACCGGATCTTATTGGCAAGAGCACTGCATATAAAACCAGGGGAGCCCATTCAACGCGTTGACGACGACACAAGTAGAGGGCATCATCCCTTGAGTTTCCCCCACGTGAATGGGGTAAAGGTGCGCAGACCTGCGATCTCGCTGGATGCACCGGATGGCACCTGGAGGCACCATTCTGGCCTCCTCTTCTATGCTGGCCATAACCTTGAAAGAGGTTGGGAGAATCTCCACCCACATCCTTCCCCACCACACACACAGGAGATCTGCCGATCGAATTACCTGCGATGGACGGAGGTGGAGAAAGAGGATTTAAGGAACCTGCACCGTTGTTTTAACTGCCACGCCGGGAGGTCGGTCCGGGCATGCGACCTCTGGGTCGACAGTCCAGCGTGCTGATCATTGCTCCACAGTAGCATGCATGTATGCTGAGCTTCTTTCGCACCGTACGTAGCCAACCGTGCCAATAGGAGGTGTGGGGGAAGGACAACAAACTAACACACACAAACAGTTCAAAAGAAATGAGTTGTCAATCTAGATTATTTAAAAGTGCATAGCTCCAATGGTTTCGTAATATCGGAAGGAAGAGCGTTCCAGACGGCCGCAGAAGCGCGTCTGAAAACGCTGCGTGATGAAAGTGACCGCCGATGGCCCAGCCAGAAGCATCTGCTGCGACGATGAGCGGAGTTCGCGTGACGATGGTTGACGCGCTGCTTGACGAGATCAACGAGGAATTGAGGCTCGTTTGTGGCAAGCACTCTGTGTGTAACGAGTGCGACCTTGTAGCGTTAATGTAACATTATCATGCAGCATTTTGTTTGTCCAACGTACATCTGACAACAACAAAAGTAATTTAATGTAATAACAGCTCACCGCGGTGGCGGTGGCTGCTGCTGCTGCTGCTGATGATGATACTGGGGATTTACGGGAGAGCGTGCAGCCGCGTCAAAGTGAAACCACGAGAAGGAATTGCCTCACTCAAAATACCAAGCCAAGTCACGGGGCCCTGAAACCGAAAGGAAACTCCTGGCAGGCCACCGCCGTAGTTTTCAAGACGGGGAGAGTCACTCCCCCCCCCCACCACCACCACCCCCACCACCACCACGTGTTCCAGCTGTACACGCGTGGGTGTCAAGGAACGTCACCGTTGCGTCACGGAGTTTCACCATGACAAGCACCTTCACACACACACACCCCACCCAAAGACAAAGATCCCCCGTAAAGCCTGTAACATACTATTGGGGCAAGTGCTGTTAGCCAGATAAAGATACAAATCCCCAATATAGCCTGTGACATACTGTTGGGGCAAGTGCTGTTAGCCATAGAAAGACAAAGATCCCCCATATAGCCTGTAACATACTGTTGGGGCAAGTGCTGTTAGCCAGATAAAGATACAAATCCCCCATATAGCCTGTGACATACTGTTGGGGCAAGTGCTGTTAGCCATAGAAAGACAAAGATCCTCGGTATAGCCTGTAACATGCTGTTGGGGCAAGTGCTGTTAGCCAGATAAAGATACAAATCCCCCATATAGCCTGTGACATACTGTTGGGGCAAGTGCTGTTAGCCATAGAAAGACAAATATCCCCCGTATAGCCTTAACATACTGTTGGGGCAAGTGCTGTTAGCCAGATAAAGATACAAATCCCCCATATAGCCTGTAACATACTGTTGGGGCAAGTGCTGTTAGCCATAGAAAGACAAAGACCCCCCGTATAGCCTGTAACAGACTGTTGGGGCAAGTGCTGTTAGCGAGCACTTTCGGTGCACGAGGGGGTGGATGGTCAGCACTCTACGCGACCGCCTTTGTCTCCCCAGTAGCGATATTTACACACCGCTCCAGGTATTCATTTGCTGCTGAGTCGACATAGGGGAGGCCCAGGACCGGTTCAGTTAATCGTCGCTGATGTTTGCCGTGAGAGGGAATCGAACTCGGGTCGCCGGATTCGTAGCGTAGAGCGCTAATCCCTACACTGCCGCACCCCCAAAGACAAAGATCCCCCGTACAGCCTTAAGAGACTGTTGGGGCAAGTGCTGTTAGCGAGTAGCGCCTATGAAGGCTGGCACGGCACACGAGGGGGTGGGTGGCCAGCACCACACCCGACCGCCTTTGTCTCCCCAGTGGCGATGTTGACTACACCGCACCAGCTGCTCATTGTAGGATGAGTCGACCTAAGGGAGCCTCAGGACCGTTTCAAAAATCGTCACTGGTGTTGGCCGTGAGCAGTGGCGAGATGTTAACTACCTCGCCTGGTATACAGGAGGTCATGGGTTCGATCCCCGACCCTGCCGCCTGCTGTATATGTGGTGTTTGCGTGTCTCCCTTCCCGTGGTCGCGTGGAAAAATGTTTTGGGTCCTCCGGCTTTCCCCTCCACATTTAGAATCAACATCACGCGTTTCGCGCATTTGGCTGCTACGAAACATGTCCACGTGATAAGCCACGCCGTTGAGCTATCATTCGTGAGGGCCAGGACGCTTCTGAAAACAGAGCGATAGAGCTCGGTGGGCCTTACCTGGTAGAATAAGATTAAACAAAGTGGGGTCAGTGGGTTCGTAGCGCAGCGCGCTAATCACTACACCACCGATCACCCCTCCCTCTATCAAGCGCCCCATGCACACGCACCCAGACTTCCCTCCCCCTCCTTCCCCCATCCTTCCCCGAATCAATTCCCGAAAGCACACCACATAGACAGACAGACAGAGATGCCTTCGCGTCATCATCTGCAGGCATGCTCAATCTACTGCTGGATGAAGGCTTCCCCGAGCCGCCGGCCACCTCTCACGATTTCTGATTAATTTAATTGTCAAGGGGAAACCACACCGGGTCCTATGGCTCTTCCTCAGGAGTGCGCTGAAGTTAAGATTTAATTTTAAGACGTTTTCGGCCAGTTAATAACGCGTGTTTATGCGTGTCGGAGGACTAACTAACCTAATTCTAGATTTGAAGCTTTCGTAAAGTCACGTAGGTAAAAAACGAAATTAAAATTAATAAAAATAAAACAATAAAAATCACGACGTTTCGGAGGCAACACAAGTCTCCGTCATCAGGTGGGATCGTCACAGCCAGATTTGCTGCATCAAGTAACTAACCACTAACCGACACACTTTTTTTTTTCAATATTTTGCCAGGTAAGGCCCACAGAGCTATGTAGCTTTTTCTTGTCAGAAGCGTCCTGGCCACCACAAATGATCGCTCAACGAAGTGGCTCACCACGTGGACATTCACAGCAGCCACATTTGTACTCCTAACGCGCTTTTCCATCGGCGCCTCCAGCCGCGACGCCCTCTCTCCATTCCGTGCGTCACCTCCACAGAGGTCACGGATTCGAGTCGATCTCCGGGCGCGGCAGCGCGACAAAAATAATCCCCACGGCGCAACTTTTGTGTGTGTTCCAATCGACTTCGCCTCGGGGCCACGCAGCCGCACTGCATGCGAAGTGGGTTACAACTACGGCGCTGGGGTAAAGTGTGGGGGTGTACTGCCACGAGCGTGGGGGTAGTCGGAGAAGGTCGCAATGTGCCGTCTGAGATGCTCCTTCTGGTGCCGCATGCGGCTCTTCGAGGGCTTCTTGTTACGTTATTCACGTGTTGGCTTGCGGCTCTTCGAGGGCTTCTTTGTTACGTTATTCACGTGTTGGCTTGCGGCTCTTCCAGGGCTTCTTTGTTACGTTATTCACGTGTTGGCTTGCGGCTCTTCGAGGGCTTCTTTGTTACGTTATTCACGTGTTGGCTTGCGGCTCTTGAAATATAGAAAAAAAATTGTTACCAAATTTGAAAACAAAAAAATGTCTCTCGTGTTGTTATATCGGTTGCCGACTCCTGATCTAGTGGATGGCCCTTCCGCCGGCAGTGGCGTGAGCGAGCAATTGCGGGGCCGCTCCTTTGCCTGCCCTTGCAAATTTGAATACCGCACGCGGACGCTGCGAGTTCCGCGAAAATTGGCGAATGTAACGCGTTTCTGATTATTTCCCCTTGATTATAGAAATAAAATAACCCCACCACGCGTTGCATATGCCTGCCATTGTGCAAAAGTTACGCGAAAGGAATGAAACGAACACGCCCTTGTGGCCACACGTAGCGGCCAAACAAACAGTGAACTGAAAGCCGGCAGACTCAATACAAAATCCGCGTGGTATGCGGTGCGACACAATGAAATACGCACAGCCACACAACAACAACATCATCATCATCCACCGGCTCCCTCCTGTTCCTCCTCTTCCACACCTGCATCTCTCTGCTCAGCGTTCGCAACGGGAAGCACTTTCGGCACTGAACACCGTTCAAGATTCCAACACCAGCACCACCAGCAGCGGCATCAACCCACCGCTATCAGCAACGAGATCATTGGCAGCAGTAGGCTCACCTGCAGCCAAAAAACTAAAATAGTTTCAGGAAGACCTTTTCCTCCCCCCACACACCTATGCGTGTGTATGTGTCTCTGTGTGAGAGTGTGGGTATATATATCGGCCTGTGCAGGCCGTGGCATCGGTATGTCACTTGGGACAGGTCAGTCGTCACTTGGACCAGACATCCGAACCTCACAGGCCAGAAGACCAGAGTAGGGGCAGCTTCGTCCGAGGACGCCATACGACTCATACTGACAGGTGAGCTGAATAATTAGACGCCACGGCATCATCATCATCATCTATGGGCAATCCATAATAATAATAAAAATTGTCTTTGCGTTAGATCGCGTAAATATTTGTCATTAAACCCGCCACCGTCCGACACAAACATTTAGTAAGATTTGCACGTTCTGTTTACGTGACAAACCTTACTAATTGTCTGCGTCGGGTGGTGGCGGGTTTAATGACACATTTATATTTACACAGCCATTTAGTAAGGTTTGCACGTTTTGTTTACGTGACAAATCTTACTAATTGTCTGCGTCGGGTGGTGGCGGGTTTAACGACACATTTTTATTTACACAGCCATTTAGTAAGGTTTGCACGTTCTGTTTACGTGTCAAACCTTACTAATTGTCTGCGTCGGGTGGTGGAGGGTTTAACGACACATTTATATTTACACAGCCATTTAGTAAGGTTTGCACGTTCTGTTTACGTGTCAAACCTTACTAATTGTCTGCGTCGGGTGGTGGAGGGTTTAACGACACATTTATATTTACACAGCCATTTAGCAAGGTTTGCACGTTCTGTTTACGTGATAAACCTTACTAATTGTCTGCGTTGGGTGGTGGCGGGCTTAACGACACATTTATATTTACGCAATACAACCCCCCAAAAACCCTTTATTGTGGATAATATTTGTCGCGAAAACCCGACGACTCCTACTACTGCCACGACGCGTTAGATGGTCAATGCAAGAATGGATGCACTATCACCATGCGATGTAACAATCCGCCCGAACTGATTTCGCCGCTCCGTCTCCTCGTCAAGCGTCGACTCTGCGACGCGTTCTCATATTTTTTCCCGTCGCTTCGTTGCTTTTATTCTTATTATTATTCTTGTGAACCGTCGGCCCTCATCTTCCCTCCCGGTCGTCACACGTGCTGTGAAACAAGCCCAACACTTCACTTTTCTTGATAGTTTTGGGGGGGGGGGAGGGGGGGAGGGTTGCCATTAACCAGCGCCAGTTATCTAATCCACGTCTTCCTCTTCCCGTCTCTCAGTGGTAACGACAAGCACGCGTCCCTCTCTGCTTTCAATTTTGGTTATATATGTCTATGTGTGTGTTGAAATCATAACTGCGTGTCTGAATCCTTGTGACATAATAGATATTGCGCACACTAATTGAACACTTGTTTCCTTCTGCCAGGGGGGTAAGTTGCAGGATGAATAAGTTCAACAATAACTATAATAATATTGCACTTAGTATAAACTATACTCCATATTTTTATTTTGCCAGGTAAAACCCACTGAGCTCTTTTGCTATTTTATTCAGAAGCGACCTGGTCACAAATGATAGCTCAACAAAGTGGCTTATCGAGTGGAAATTCATAGCAGCCAAATACTCTAAACGCACGTTTCGAAATGTGGAGGTGAAAACCCGGAGGACCCGGAGAAAAATCCACGCGACCAAGGGGAGAGAGAGACACGCAAACTCCAAATATACAACAGCAGGCGTCAGGATCGGGATCGAATCCACGACCTCCTGTATACCAGGCGAGGTAGTCAACATCTCGCCACGGCGTCCTCGCATTCACAAGGGATCGTCCAGGCAGCTCAGTGCAGGATTCTCTTAAAAATTAGCCTTGAAATTCGCGAGGCTTTCCTGAATAAACTTCCTGATCAGTATAACTTTTCTTTACTGCCCAAGCGATCGTTATGATTTTGCATAATTATTGGATGATGATGATGATGCAATGAATAGCAACAATGATCGTGATTATACTTTTGCTGTATAATTACTTCCCTATTATTATTGCTGCTGCTAATGGATGTTACTGCGCTGTCACTCCTGGTAATGATGATGATGTTGCTGATGATGATTAGGACGTTGCTGCTGCTAATGTTACTGATAAGGATGATACAAAAACTATTCATATAATACTTTGCTACTGAGGCTGCTGCTGATTATGATACAATTGAAGATGGTACTAATACTATACTGATGATGCTGCTGCTACTGCTGCTGCGTCTGATGCAGAAGTTACTGCAGATACTATTGCTGCTGATGTTGAATTGAAGATGGCACAAATAACGATCGCATTGCTGCTGCTGCTGCAACTGCTGCTGCATCTGATGCAAATGTTACCGCAGATACGATTGCGGCTAATACTGCTGATGATGCTAATACCACTGAATATAGCACAAATGACGATAACATTGCTGCTGCTGCTGCTGCTGTATCCGATGCAGATGTTACCGCGGAAAATATTGCTGCTAATACTGCTGCTGCTGATGGTGATGATGATGCCCCTGCGTGTCACGGTGCGGCCAGACTTCCAGGACACGGGCGAGGAAGATGATGCTCCTGCTGCTGCCACTGCTCGCTCTGAGCTCCGTTGCGGTGGAGATGACCGCGGCGCAGAGAAGCAGGGAAAGCGCCTGCGTGGAGGCGCTCGCCAAAGCCCTCCAGCTCGTCAGCAGAGATGTCGACCAGCTCGCCAATGACATGGTGAACCAATACCCAAACTAAACGAAAAGTAAAACTATTTTATTTTACCAGGTTCACACGTATGTTACGTTGAACTTCTTTCGCACCGTACGTAGCCAACCGCGCTAATCGGAGGTGCGGGGGAAGGACAACAAACTAAACATAGAAAGCAGTTGTAAAGAAAAGAGTTTTAAATCGAGATTTTAAAGTGAATCGTTTAAGGCTGAGTCGACCTAGGGGTGACCCAGGACCGGTTGTCCGTGAGCAGAAATGGAACTCAGGTCACCTCTCCCCCCCCCCCCACACACACAGGCACACGCACGCTTCTCTCAGCACTTCGCTATAAATCCGGTGACCTGAGATTGATTCAGAGGAACGGTCTAACATCTGTGGCGAGTGACATCCCCCCCCCCCCCCGCGCCCTTCACCACCGCGGTGAAGTGAGATTATAAAATACAAACTTACCATGGCCAACAGCGGTGGAAGTGCCTTCATCCAACAGTGTATTGCAATATTTTGCTGTCTTTTCTTGGATTTTCTGTTTGCACTCTATTCACTTTAAGATGTTTTTTGTTCATGTTTTTATGTTTGTTGCGGTGGCACCCGATTCAAGAGCCGAATGGCGGCTCACAGGGCTATACCTAATAAATGAACTTGAACTTGACAAAGAGGCAGTACAGCATTAATCGTCCACGTTATAATTAGGTTACTCATTCCTGCATTCCCTTAAAGTGCGTCTCTTTTCTCTTCCTGCTCCTCGTCGTTGTCTCAACCCCCCCCCCCCCCCGTCAACTCTTCACCCTCTCAGCAAGCAGAGCACGACCCAAGCGAGCACACGTGGAGGATTCTATCATCAGCAACTCCTCCAATTCCCGTGAGTCTCAGCCAGAGCCGTGCCGAGGGGTGCGGCGAATCGGGGTGATTGCCCCGGGCCCCGCACTTGGGGTGGGGGGGGAGGGTGCTTCGATGTCACGGTGTCAGATATAATAGGTACTTCTGTAATCCTTATACTTCTACAAATATAATAATGCTTCTACCTCTACAGAGGTCAAACTTGTGACACTTGTGATTTGCCACGGGCCCCGCATCCCGATATTGACGGCTCTGGTATTCGCAGTCGAGAAGTGGCAATGATTTTGTACGTACGTTGAACTTCTTTTGCACCGTACGTAGCCAACTGTGCTAGACGAAAGACAACAAACTAAACACAAAAAGCAGTTCTAAAAAAATCTGAGTTTCACATCTCGATTTAAAAGTACATAGCTCCGGTGGCTTGCTAATATCGGAAGGAAGAGCGTTCCAGACGGCCGCAGAAGCGCATCTGAAAACGCTGCGCCATGCGGTGACCGTCTTTGTTCGATGGTTTGCATTGCGGATCGTGAAATAATGAGCGTTTAGCTGAATTCGAAAAATACAAAATTGCCTCTTCTTGTTACTTTTTTTTTGCCAACCCCTGCCTTAGTTACCGTATTCATTGATGAATCGATGCAACCCACCCCCAGGACTTAATTTTTGCACCAAAATATTTTCTGTTCGTAGCCGCAGCTACAGCCAGAGGTGTAAAATGCACGTGGTGTGCTGGGCGCGGCTGAATGAAGCCCCTGGGCACAGCGTTTTACGGCGCTCACATCGCTGGCAGTCGCGGTGCTGGCCCCAACGGGAGCCCTAAGCAGAAGTTCTTTTGGGTTACGAACGAAACCCGCGGGACACAAACTGTGAACGTGCGCAGAGAAGTACGCCCGGAGTTGCCCAGGGGGAACCGCGTCAATTCTGGAACAGAGACAAAGAGCCCCCGTAATGCCTTAACGGACTGTTGGGGCAAGTACTGTTAGAGTAGCACCTATGAAGGCCGCCACGGTACACGAGGGGGTGGGGTGGCTAGCACCACGCCCGACCACCTTTGTCTCCGCAGTTGCGATGTTTACTACACACCGCACCAGGTACTTGTTTGAGGCTGAGTCGACCTAGGGTAGGCCCAGAACCGATTTAGATAATCCTCACTGGTGTTGGTGGCCGTGAGCGCTAATCGAACTCAAGTCACTGCTTGGGTCGCCAACGTCGTGCCCGGCCGCCTACACACCGGACCAGGTACTGTCACTCATTTGAGGCTGAGTCAACCTAGAGGACGCTCATGACCAGTTCAGATACTCGTCACTGGTATTGGCCGTGAGCGGGAATCGAACTCTGGTCGTAGCCTGGTTAGTAGCACACACAACACACGGATGCAGATGTTGTCACTGCTAATACCACTGAAGGTGGCACAAATGAAGATTACATTGCTGTTGCTGCATCTGATGCAGATGTTACCGCAAATTCTGTTATTGCTAACACTGCTGCTGGTGATGATGCCCCCGTGTGTCACGGTGCAGCCAGATGTTCAGGACACGGACGAGAAATATGATAACAATTATACACAGTCCTCAACTTACGAATACCCTATTTACGAACACCCACACTTACGAACCAGCTTCAATTAAATATTAGTTGTTTTAACATGGACATAAAACGCGAACTCTCACTTGTAAATTGAAACGCGGCACTATTTTGTTCAGCTGGGCAATCCTCCGCGAGATTAAGGAGTCAACCTCGTGCTGTGAGTGAGTGTCTGCGTCTGTGTGGACATTTAAATATACAGGAGGTGACTGTGTTCCGACTTACCAACAAGTTCGACTTACGAACGGTTCTCAGGAACGAATTGTGTTCGCAAGCCGAGGACTGCCCATATTGAATTCATGAACACGTCTTCTTGGTTCTTTCGGTAAAGTCACGTAGAAGGGAAATAATAAAATAATAAAAATAAAACATAATAAAATAATTCTCACGACGTTTCGGCCACAACGCAAGCAGCCGTCCTCAGGTGAAAAACAGGTCTGTCGGGAAGACAGCGTCTGAATAAAACACCACAAGCACCTGAGGACGGCTGCTTGCGTTGTGCCCGAAACGTCGTGAGAATGATTTTATTGTTTTATTTTTATTATTGTATTATTTCCCTTCTACGTGACTTTACCGAAAGAACCAAGAAGATGAATCCCTGCAGTCACGAAAGCTTTAAATCGAAATTTAAATCATGAACACGTGTCAATGCGTCTGCCGCTGCTGTTGTTGTTGTTGCCTGTTGCGTTGATTTCACCGCAGGCGAGCGAGCGCTGCGCGGCTCAGAAGCTGGCGCTGGCCTTCTACGAGAAGACGTTTCGCGCCGCGCACCTTTCCGTGGCCCCGTCCGAGAGCCTGGACGCGGTGCAGGACGCCCTCATGAACGTCCACGCCAAACTGGGCAGCGATGAATGCGTGAGAAGCCCAGATCAGCTCTCACTCGCTCACTCACTCGGGCCCACGTGGTCACCGCCGGGTTGAAGGGCGCCGTGATGTGGCTTCGTCCAAACCCCACCGCGTTGGTCGGCGTGGCTTGGTCGGTGAAAGTTGGTTGTGGCAACATGGGCTTACATGTGGACAGCCTGGATGTCACTTGCCACTGATGGCTTGCCGTGATCGGAAATGGACCTCTGGCTGCTGCCACCGTTCCCCCTAACGCAGGAGTCGGCAACCTCTTGAAGGACCGTTTTGTGGGGCTATTTATTAAGGACCATCTCGTATTCCGATGCATTGCGGCTCTTTAAATATTGAGGTTTTTTTTACCGAATTCGCAAAAAAATGTCTCTTCTTGTTATTTTGGGTTCCGACCCTCTGCCCGATCGTAAAACGTATCATCGTCAGCCATGACCTTTCCACTGCTGTGTGAAAGCGTGCCCAAGCCGTTGCAATCGCTCAGTCGCGCAATGCAAACGTTCCACCCAGCGCCTGCACACCACGAGCCGATTTCATCGCTCCATCTCCCCCGCGGTGGAACTATGGCCGGCCGCTGTCACGCGCGTTCCGTCCTTTGGCTGACACTCCGCCGTTAGTCTCGGCCGTCGGCCGTTCGAGCGCTGTGTTCAACGTCAGGGCCACGACGTTTCCCCGACAGCGAGCAGCGTAACACGCAACATGCAGCAACACATGGATTTCTAAACACACGACTTCACGCACGTTTTGTATTTACGAACCCTTAGAATCCGGTATTCCTTGATGACTCGATGCCCCCCCCCCCCCAAGACTTAATTTTCGCACTGAAATGTACGCACGATGAACTTCTTTCGCACCGTACGTAGCCAACCGTGCTTGGGGGGGGGGGGGGGAGACAACAAACTAACACACGAAAACATTTTTTCCTGGCTCGCTGCAGACCGTTGCAAGTGCGCCCCCGACTGGTATCCACAGCCGTAGCGAGATGTGGACTTGATGTGGTGTGCCGGGCGCGGGTGAAACTAAGCCCTGGGGCGCAGTCGTTGGTGGTCATGGCCCACTGGGGGCCTTTAGCGGAGGTTATTTGAGAGACCCCCCCCCCTCCGTTGCCCCACAGACAAACAATTGATATGTCGAGAGAAAAGATGTACAGACGGGACAGATGAGTCGTGAGATGAGGGAGCGTTGCAGCCAAGAGCCAGAGATGATGCGAGATGATACAGAAGGGCTGTAGACGAGACAAAGATGCGAGATTACTTCGCGTTTGATGTGGTTTACAAATATATATTATTTTAATGTAATCTGATATTCAGTTCATGACTCTGTTGTATGAATCCTGGGCTCCTTGAGCTACTTGGGCCCCTTGACCTACTTGGGCCCCTTGAGCTACTTGGGCCCCTTGAGCTACTTGGGCCCCTTGAGCTACTTGGGCCCCTTGAGCTACTTGGGCTCCTTGAGCTACTTGGGCTCCTTGAGCTACCTGGGCTCCTTGAGCTACTTGGGCTCCATGAGCTGCCTGGGCTCCTTGAGCTGCCTGGGCTCCTTGAGCTACCTGGGCTCCTTGAGCTACCTGGGCTCCTTGAGCTACCTGGGCTCCTTGAGCTACTTGGGCTCCTTGAGCTACTTGGGCTCCTTGAGCTACCTGGGCTCCTTGAGCTACTTGGGCTCCTTGAGCTGCCTGGGCTCCTTGAGCTACTTGGGCTCCTTGAGCTACCTGGGCTCCTTGAGCTACCTGGGCTCCTTGAGCTACTTGGGCTCCTTGAGCTACTTGGGCTCCTTGAGCTACCTGGGCTCCTTGAGCTACTTGGGCTCCTTGAGCTGCCTGGGCTCCTTGAGCTGCCTGGGCTCCTTGAGCTACCTGGGCTCCTTGAGCTACTTGGGCTCCTTGAGCTACTTGGGCTCCTTGAGCTGCCTGGGCTCCTTGAGCTACTTGGGCTCCTTGAGCTACTTGGGCCCCTTGAGCTACTTGGGCTCCTTGAGCTACTTGGGCCCCTTGAGCTACTTGGGCTCCTTGAGCTACTTGGGCCCCTTGAGCTACCTGGGCTCCTTGAGATACTTGGGCCCCTTGAGCTACTTGGGCTCCTTGAGCTACTTGGGCTCCTTGAGCTACTTGGGCTCCTTGAGCTACCTGGGCTCCTTGAGCTACTTGGGCCCCTTGAGCTACTTGGGCCCCTTGAGCTACTTGGGCTCCTTGAGCTACTTGGGCTCCTTGAGCTACTTGGGCCCCTTGAGCTACCTGGGCTCCTTGAGCTACTTGGGCCCCTTGAGCTACTTGGGCTCCTTGAGCTACTTGGGCTCCTTGAGCTACTTGGGCTCCTTGAGCTACTTGGGCTCCTTGAGCTACTTGGGCCCCTTGAGCTACTTGGGCTCCTTGAGCTACTTGGGCTCCTTGAGCTACTTGGGCCCCTTGAGCTACTTGGGCTCCTTGAGCTACTTGGGCCCCTTGAGCTACCTGGGCTCCTTGAGCTACCTGGGCTCCTTGAGCTACTTGGGCCCCTTGAGCTACTTGGGCCCCTTGAGCTACCTGGGCTCCTTGAGCTACTTGGGCTCCTTGAGCTACCTGGGCTCCTTGAGCTACTTGGGCCCCTTGAGCTACTTGGGCTCCTTGAGCTACCTGGGCTCCTTGAGCTACCTGGGCTCCTTGAGCTACCTGGGCTCCTTGAGCTACTTGGGCCCCTTGAGCTACTTGGGCTCCTTGAGCTACTTGGGCTCCTTGAGCTACTTGGGCTCCTTGAGCTGCCTGGGCTCCTTGAGCTGCCTGGGCTCCTTGAGCTACTTGGGCCCCTTGAGCTACTTGGGCTCCTTGAGCTACTTGGGCCCCTTGAGCTACTTGGGCTCCTTGAGCTACTTGGGCCCCTTGAGCTACCTGGGCTCCTTGAGCTACTTGGGCCCCTTGAGCTACTTGGGCTCCTTGAGCTACTTGGGCTCCTTGAGCTACTTGGGCTCCTTGAGCTACCTGGGCTCCTTGAGCTACTTGGGCTCCTTGAGCTACTTGGGCCCCTTGAGCTACTTGGGCCCCTTGAGCTACTTGGGCTCCTTGAGCTACTTGGGCTCCTTGCGCTACTTGGGCCCCTTGAGCTACCTGGGCTCCTTGAGCTACTTGGGCCCCTTGAGCTACTTGGGCCCCTTGAGCTACTTGGGCTCCTTGAGCTACTTGGGCTCCTTGAGCTACTTGGGCTCCTTGAGCTACTTGGGCTCCTTGAGCTACTTGGGCCCCTTGAGCTACTTGGGCTCCTTGAGCTACTTGGGCTCCTTGAGCTACTTGGGCCCCTTGAGCTACTTGGGCTCCTTGAGCTACTTGGGCCCCTTGAGCTACCTGGGCTCCTTGAGCTACCTGGGCTCCTTGAGCTACTTGGGCCCCTTGAGCTACTTGGGCCCCTTGAGCTACCTGGGCTCCTTGAGCTACTTGGGCTCCTTGAGCTACCTGGGCTCCTTGAGCTACTTGGGCCCCTTGAGCTACTTGGGCTCCTTGAGCTGCCTGGGCTCCTTGAGCTACTTGGGCCCTTTGAGCTACTTGGGCCCCTTGAGCTACTTGGGCTCCTTGAGCTACTTGGGCCCCTTGAGCTACCTGGGCCCCTTGAGCTACTTGGGCTCCTTGAGCTACCTGGGCTCCTTGAGCTACCTGGGCTCCTTGAGCTACTTGGGCTCCTTGAGCTACTTGGGCTCCTTGAGCTACTTGGGCTCCTTGAGCTACTTGGGCTCCTTGAGCTACTTGGGCTCCTTGAGCTACTTGGGCTCCTTGAGCTACTTGGGCTCCTTGAGCTACCTGGGCTCCTTGAGCTACCTGGGCTCCTTGAGCTACTTAGGCCCCTTGAGCTACTTGGGCTCCTTGAGCTACTTGGGCTCCTTGAGCTACTTGGGCTCCTTGAGCTACCTGGGCTCCTTGAGCTACATGGGCCCCTTGAGCTACCTGGGCTCCTTGAGCTACCTGGGCCCCTTGAGCTACTTGGGCTCCTTGAGCTACTTGGGCTCCTTGAGCTACTTGGGCTCCTTGAGCTACCTGGGCTCCTTGAGCTACTTGGGCTCCTTGAGCTACTTGGGCTCCTTGAGCTACTTGGGCCCCTTGAGCTACCTGGGCCCCTTGAGCTACCTGGGCTCCTTGAGCTACTTGGGCCCCTTGAGCTACCTGGGCTCCTTGAGCTACTTGGGCCCCTTGAGCTACCTGGGCTCCTTGAGCTACTTGGGCTCCTTGAGCTACTTGGGCCCCTTGAGCTACCTGGGCTCCTTGAGCTACTTGGGCCCCTTGAGCTACCTGGGCTCCTTGAGCTACTTGGGCTCCTTGAGCTACTTGGGCTCCTTGAGCTACCTGGGCCCCTTGAGCTACTTGGGCTCCTTGAGCTACTTGGGCTCCTTGAGCTACTTGGGCTCCTTGAGCTACTTGGGCTCCTTGAGCTACCTGGGCTCCTTGAGCTACTTGGGCTCCTTGAACTACCTGGGCCCCTTGAACTACCTGGCCCTCTTGAACTACCTGGGCCTCTTGAGCTACTTGGGCCCTTTGAGCTACCTGGGCTCCTTGAGCTACTTGGGCTCCTTGAGCTACTTGGGCCCTTTGAGCTACTTGGGCTCCTTGAGCTACTTGGGCTCCTTGAGCTACTTGGGCTCCTTGAGCTACTTGGGCTCCTTGAGCTACTTGGGCTCCTTGAGCTACCTGGGCTCCTTGAGCTACCTGGGCCCCTTGAGCTACTTGGGCTCCTTGAGCTACCTGGGCTCCTTGAGCTACTTGGGCTCCTTGAGCTACTTGGGCTCCTTGAGCTACTTGGGCTCCTTGAGCTACTTGGGCTCCTTGAGCAACCTGGGCTCCTTGAGCTACTTGGGCTCCTTGAGCTACTTGGGCTCCTTGAGCTACCTGGGCTCCTTGAGCTACCTGGGCTCCTTGAGCTACTTGGGCCCCTTGGGCTACTTGGGCTCCTTGAGCTACTTGGGCTCCTTGAGCTACTTGGGCTCCTTGAGCTACCTGGGCTCCTTGAGCTACATGGGCCCCTTGAGCTACCTGGGCCCCTTGAGCTACCTGGGCTCCTTGAGCTACCTGGGCCCCTTGAGCTACCTGGGCCTCTTGAGCTACTTGGGCTCCTTGAGCTACTTGGGCTCCTTGAGCTACCTGGGCCCCTTGAGCTACTTGGGCTCCTTGAGCTACTTGGGCTCCTTGAGCTACCTGGGCCTCTTGAGCTACTTGGGCTCCTTGAGCTACTTGGGCTCCTTGAGCTACTTGGGCTCCTTGAGCTACCTGGGCTCCTTGAGCTACTTGGGCTCCTTGAGCTACTTGGGCCCCTTGAGCTACCTGGGCCCCTTGAGCTACCTGGGCTCCTTGAGCTACTTGGGCCCCTTGAGCTACCTGGGCTCCTTGAGCTACTTGGGCCCCTTGAGCTACCTGGGCTCCTTGAGCTACCTGGGCTCCTTGAGCTACTTGGGCCCCTTGAGCTACCTGGGCTCCTTGAGCTACTTGGGCCCCTTGAGCTACCTGGGTTCCTTGAGCTACTTGGGCTCCTTGAGCTACTTGGGCTCCTTGAGCTACTTGGGCTCCTTGAGCTACCTGGGCCCCTTGAGCTACTTGGGCTCCTTGAGCTACTTGGGCTCCTTGAGCTACTTGGGCTCCTTGAGCTACTTGGGCTCCTTGAGCTACTTGGACTCCTTGAGCTACCTGGGCTCCTTGAGCTACTTGGGCTCCTTGAACTACCTGGGCCCCTTGAACTACCTGGGCCTCTTGAACTACCTGGGCCTCTTGAGCTACTTGGGCCCTTTGAGCTACCTGGGCTCCTTGAGCTACTTGGGCTCCTTGAGCTACTTGGGCCCTTTGAGCTACTTGGGCTCCTTGAGCTACTTGGGCTCCTTGAGCTACTTGGGCCCTTTGAGCTACTTGGGCTCCTTGAGCTACTTGGGCTCCTTGAGCTACTTGGGCTCCTTGAGCTACTTGGGCTCCTTGAGCTACTTGGGCTCCTTGAGCTACCTGGGCCCCTTGAGCTACTTGGGCCCCTTGAGCTACCTGGGCCCCTTGAGCTACCTGGGCTCCTTGAGCTACTTGGTCTCCTTGAGCTACCTGGGCTCCTTGAGCTACTTGGGCTCCTTGAGCTACCTGGGCCCCTTGAGCTACTTGGGCCCCTTGAGCTACCTGGGCCCCTTGAGCTACCTGGGCCCCTTGAGCTACCTGCGCTGTTGCTTGGCCCCAGCGCTGCCGAGGTGCAGACAAACGCCCTGAGATGCCGACTCTTTGGGAAAATGTCAAAACTGGGTGGTTTTTAACTTTTGCCGACAAAACTGGATCCCAAATGTCAAAACTGGGTGCACCCTGGGTGGCCAAAAACTTGAGTTTTGGACACTCAGGGTGCACCCAGTTTTGACATTTGTCAAATACACTTGATAATTGTATACTAGCACAGTGTGCCAGCACCCCATTCATCCAAACACTTGGTATTTGTATACTGGCACACTGTGCCAGTATACATATGGCAAGTAAGTGTTACTGTAGTAGCGAGCTGGCACACTGTGCCAGTATACAAACGGCAAGTAAGCGAGCTGGCACACTGTGCCAGTATACAAATGGCAAGTTAGGGTATGTTCGCGAGCTGTAAGTGTTACTGTAGTTGCAAGCTGGCACACTGTGCCAGTATACATATGGCAAGTAAGTGTTACTGTAGTAGCGAGCTGGCACACTGTGCCAGTATACAAACGGCAAGTAAGCGAGCTGGCACACTGTGCCAGTATACAAATGGCAAGTACGTGTATGTTCGCGAGCTGAAAGTGTTACTGTAGTTGCAAGCTGGCACACTGTGCCAGTATACATATGGCAAGTAAGTGTTACTGTAGTAGCGAGCTGGCACACTGTGCCAGTATGCAAACGGGAAGTTGTGGTGCAAGGTATGGAACATGAGCCACGAGAAACATCATTTGGAACGCTCTAAATCTGTGGCGACATATGGATGAATAACGCAAGGACCTAAACGTGTACAAAATGATACATTAAATCGTACACCTTCTTCACCCAGTTTTGACATTTGTCCACATTGAACATCACCCAGTTTTGTCATATCAAAAAGCACCACCCTGTTTTGCCTGTCGTTTTCCAAGACCACCCAGTTTTGACATTTGGGATCCAGTTTTGTCGGCAAAAGTTAAAAACCACCCAGTTTTGACATTTTCCCCCGACTCTTTCCTTCCCTCTCCCCCTCTCTGCTCGCAGAATAAGAAGTGCTCTTTGCGTGGCTCCCCCGGCTCGCGAGCCATGGAGAGCCTCAGGCAGAGAATCAACAACGCTGCGGTCAAAGTAAGAATCTCTCCATATCCCAATCTCTCTCCTCTCTCTTCGCCCTCCATATCTCTTGACTCTCCATCTCCTCTCTCCACCTCTCTCCATCTATCCCCATCTCTCTACATCTCTCACCTCTCTCCATGTCTCTCCTCTCTTCGCTCTCCATCTTCCTCCACTTTTCTCTCCATCCGCCTCTCAATCTCCCATCTTTCTCCATCTCTCCCTTCACGAAATAAGAATTATCCAGGCGGAGCGCCTCTCATTGTTACGCAGTTGCCCCGATGCGATCTCTCCCCGTTCTCCCCCCTCTTCGCCCACCCCGTAGATCCTGGACCCCGTGGAGCTGCGGGTGGCGCTCACCGACATCCGCTCGCTGATCTATCTCACTCGCCACGCTCACTCCAAGCGTGGCAAGAAGCGGCACACTTCCCGCAGGCGCTCGGGCGCCATCAACAACGCGTGGCCGCGCAGGAGGGAGTGATCGGATCATCGGACATCGTCAGCGTAGGTCAAGAGGTCACCCACATCTCGCCGTCCGCCTCCCTTCCTTCCTCCGAGGTCCTCGAAGTTGCTGCGAGGTCGACCTCTCACCTTCAAGAGGGACTCTTTTACAGTCTCGGCATCACCGTCATCATCGTCTTCCCCTGGTTACAGCTGGCACGTCCTCCAAGAATCACTGCCAGTCTCGTCATCACCATCACCACCACCACCTTTTCCCCTCGATCATTGACCTCTGGGTGCCCACCGCAATGCCCGCCTCAGTGACCTATAACGATTTTATGGATACGATATCAGGGACTATGATTGGTATTGGTGCTAACGATTACGGGGGATATATTTTCGAATCGCTGAAATCAAAACGCTGCCCCACGACTGTAATGCATGGGTGCTAATATCGCATTAAGTGATGTCCGGATGAATGAGTTTACTGCCCTGAGCCAGTGGTTAAAATTCCACATTTATCTGACGGGGGCCGAGTCTCACCATAGGACAATCGTTGTTGACTTACTCACAACAGTGGTAGTTATTTTTATCGACCCCAGTGGGGTGATGGGCTGAATAAATCTCTTTTACTGACAGAGCTACCCGATTTCTATAGCAGTTTTTCAACTCCAGTCCGCTCAAATCTCCACGGTCCGGATTTTAGCGATTACCATTACTTTCTTTGCTATGCAAATGAAGCCACACTGAATACACTCCATGCTACCTGACGAGGACCTGGAGCGGATTGTTGCAGTCGCGAGGACTGGAGTTAGGAACGCACCGTTGCCGAGCACGGCAGGGGCAGGTTGCATTAATGATGTTACAAATTCGGTGTGATTCTAAACTCTTATACACTACGGGGGGGGGGGGGGGGGGGCGATTCACACACGCACAACTATGTAGTGTAGAGAGGTTCAAACATCAATTCGTTTTCTTTGGTTCTTTCGGTAAAGTCACATAGATAGAAAATAAAATACAAAATAGTGAGTTTTTAGTTTTAAAAGTGTTTAATATTTATTTAAAAAATATCTACGTGACTTTACCGAAAGAACCAAACAATATGAATTCCTGCAGTCAAGAAAGTTAAGTCGAAATCGAATCAATTCGTTGTTACAGCAAAACTAATATTGAGGTGGATGGTAGCGCCCCTGGTGGCATCCAGGAGGTCGCCCGGACTAATGACATGTGACGCAGACTGATCGATCTCACGTCGATTAAAGGTCAATAATAAATAATCGATTGATTACATGAATCGCCACCACCCCTCCAACCATAAACATGAATGACAAGCAATATATAACTCAAGTAGCCAAGTATACGCATCTCAATGCTTTGGTGGGGGGGGGGGGGATCAATTATGTGCTATGTGATTAATAATTGTAAGAGAAACCTATTAAAATAATAGATATAATATATAATGTATCATTATTTTAGCCATTATGTATGAACGTGTACTTTCGAAAACATTTACAGTGTTGATATCTGAATTTTTGTTTGCACAAAATGCACAATTTTTTTGTTTATCTGGAGCTGCCTGTTATTTGCACAAATCGTAATATAAAACTATGTCACTATTGCCCCCTTTGACCGTGCTTATTCCTCGATGCCAAAGGGCAAAGGTTGTGGCTCACGGACACAGCGGTTGTGTTTAGTTTTAATAGAGAGTCGCGTCGTCGCCATGCAAGTTGCACCTTGCATAAGAACCACAGGCGAACCGGTGCTACCGTCATTTAGCCATGCTTTGCTGGCCTCTATACATTTGGAGTGTTTCATAAATTATAAACGTCAGGGTCAAGGGGGTCAACACAACCACTCCCCATTGATGCCACCAATACACATCACCATCGCCTCTTTCCTTATGCCAGAGATCCATTAGATGTGAGATCCATCGTTCTTCGACTCATCATCAACACCACCACCATTTTTGGCTTAAGACAGGACCGCAGTCTCATCGCCATCATCGCCGTCTGGATGTCCCAATGTTACACGGGGTCGTCCTTTCATTCATGGATTACTTATTGTCGAACCACAACCACCACATGCTCACAGCTCCGTGGCGGTGGAGCAGCTGCTTGGGTTTAGTGGCTGGTGGTTTTTCGTGGTGGCGATTGGTGAGGCTGGTGGAGGAGGTGGCTGCGAGTGGTTGGTAAAGTTGCGTGGTGTGATTGCTGCAGAGAGAGGTGGTAGGGGTTGGTCAGGATGTGGTGGTGGTCAGTATGTGGTGGAACGAACAAGAGGTGGGGTGAGGTGGGTTTGGCGTCTTGCTAAGTGCGTGTTAGAAGCGGTGGTTGTGCACTGGTGGTAAGTGACTTGTGGTGGATAGTGTTTGGTGCTTCGTGCTGATGATGGTGGGTGGCGATTGTCGAGTGGCAGCCGTGCACATTTGCAGTGTGTACAAAAAAAACAGGCAGAAACCAAAGCTGTTGAGGTGCCGATCACTGTGTTTATGATTTGTGTTGCTTGTTTGTTAAGTACATCACCAACCACTTGCAGTTTCTACAGTAAGCACAAGAACCACTTAAAATCGAGATAGTGCTTTAAAATACAATCAGTTAAAACATCACAAGGCACAGGAGTCTTGTCATTGGCCTCTTGCCCCCCCCACACACACACCGGTCAAGCAGCAGTGCTCATGATGACCGCACGTGGTTAAACAACAGTCGCTATTCCAGTTATACGTGCTCACTTGTTTAATGGTTTCACAACCCATGCCCAGCCCTGACAAATCGATGAATTATCGCAATTTGTGGTCACGATTCAACAAGTCCTTTATACTATATGTGTGTATTTATAAAAGAAACTGTGAATGCGGCAGCCGCTAGTGGCCACTAGTGGCTGCAGGGGGTCATGTGACCCCCATAACATACAAATTGTGAAAACGCAAATCGATTCCAAAACACGCAATCGGATGCACGCAACAAGGGCTTAAGAACTGAAATTCATCAGCGAATCGATGACATATCGTTGCACCTCCACTCGTTTGCATGTACATCGCCACGCATGCGCAAATGTACACAGAGCGCCTTTCGCATGTGCGGTGATTGTTAACGACTATAGTTTAACGCAACTGCACGTTACGGAGGGTGAAACATCAACAACAACAACCTGCATCACGTGTGCGCGAGTTTCCAATTTAAGACTGAAAATAAACCAATGCTCTTTGGGTAAGACACCAAATGCCCACCGATTGTCTCTTTGTAACAGACGATGACAAACGAGAGTTATTTTTTCTTCGATCAAGACATCGTCGCCCGTCAATCGTGATGGAAACACAGGCCAATCGCAGCATGAGCCAGCGGTCGCAAACGCAGGGTCCACACCGTTTAAAAAGAAAATCACGTGCAGGGAAGATGACGAGGAAGGGAGATTCAACTTAACGCTAAAGCACACGCACTCAAACCGGAAGTTTCATTACAAAAATACTGTTTCCCTCGATCATGTGACGCCCATGGGCGCAAATCCTGCACACTTTCGATGTTTGGTGCCGATAAAACTGACCTCCGATTATTTTAACTGGCATCCATGTGTGTAGAACTTCTTTTGCACCGTACGTCGCACAAGCGTGCCAATCTGAGGTGCGAGGGAAAGTCAACAAACGGGAGGTTTGTAGCGGCCGCTTGTAATCCCAAGTGTGCTTTTCTCAACACGCAACCTGACATTCAAATCCCAAGCTTTCACAACGCACCAGCATCATTAACTTTCTGAAGATGCCCACAGTAAAGTCATTTCTTTCGAAAAATGAAAATAGGTTTTAACTTTTCCGGCAATAAAACAGATGTTAAGAGGTTCAAACACCAAGTCTGCATTAACCACGCGAACTTGTGGTGAACATGCTAACAAAGATGCTCTGATAATTATAAATGCATCGTCTTTGAAATTGATTGGCCTACACCAGAGGCAACCTTCCTTACGGCATAGTCTCACCAGTGTCAGACCAGAGCACGCCAAAAGGCGAACAGGACAAAGACAATGCCACCATCAGAGCATTTATAGCTCGGGGTGAGCAGCTAAATCATGGGGCTTATTTGCCTGTATCAAAGTATAAAAAATAAGAATAGGTTTTACCTTTTCTAGCAATACAAAAATGATGATAATGATAATTCCTTTAGAACTGTTTTTTTGTGTTTAAGTTTGTTGTCCTTCCCCCGCACCTCCGATTAGCACGGTTGGCTTACGTACGGCGCGAAAGAAGTTCAACGTACGTACGCGCACACGGCGCACGGTGAAAACAAAAGCTCAAACACGCATTCCCAACCGGGAGAAGTCTCCGACGACTTCCGAGAATCCGAATAAAACAAAACTTCCGTTCACTCTCCGTTGACGTCTACTCGAGCATCGTTAGCAAGCGGCCACACTTCACGACACCGCGCTTGACCCGCGTGCCGAGGTTCATACCGTCAAGCAAGCCTCACGACCTGCAACAGCGTAGGGGGAGGGGGCCCCTCGTCCAGCAGTGGATTGTCCAAAAGGGCCGTGCGTGTAAAACAGACGGCAAGCTGTTGTCATTCGTATTGCACCAACACTCGTCCGAACCAGAAGATTGGGGTTACTTTGTTTGTCAATAGAAAGTAAACTGTTATAGATTATTTTAACACATTTCCAAAAATGTAGAGACTAGTCAGGGAGTACAAATACAGATTTTTTTTTAAATCCATTACCTTACAGCAACATTTGCACGGAAAATCATTGCAAAAGAGCCGCCGGGTATTGCTCAACTGCCTTCCTGTAATCGGATATCGCAAATGTGCGGCTCGGAGAGCAATTTCCCTGGGTTTCCTTGACAAGCGTAACCCTGTGCGATCCTGCGCAGCCTGAGCGCGAACCCTGACCACCACCAGGGCGAGGCAATGGAACGCGCCCTTTACCTCGCCGGCGTCTTCACAGGCATCGTTACGTCGGAGTCACGCCCCACCACACGCCACGTGGCTCTCGTCCAAAAACTTCACCAAACACTACAGCGAACGCTCATTAACCTCCCACAACCACCGCCACCACCGCCACCACCACCGCGACTACCACATCAAAGGCACAGATCCCCCGTAAAACATGAACAGACTGTTGGGGCAAGTTCCGTCAGCGGGCACGTATGAAGGCCGGCACGGTACACGAGGGGGTTGGTGGCCAGAATCACGCCCGGTCACCGCCTTTGTCTCCCTAGCTGGCGATGTTTACGCACCGCCACCAGTGACTCAACCGAGGCCGATTCGACCGAGGGGATGGCCCAAGATCGGTTCAGATAATCGTCACTGGTATAGGCCGCGAGCGGGAATCGAACCCGGGTCGCCGGGTTCATAGCGCGGCTGCACCACCGCTCCCCGCACCACCAGCACCGATACACGAGCACGGAATCCACACGCTTCTGCTTGCAGGAGCCACCGGGATGTGGTTATCCGAGAGTAACAACGAATTCCATGCAAATGTTGTAAATCGACTCCATAGCAATACTTTACCCTCAGCCCGACTCATGCACATGAAGGGTCGTCGGGGTAGAGTGGGCGAGACCTCACGCGGCCGGAGAGACAGTGCCGTCCGGGTAGCGAAATGTCGGGCTAACTTGATGTGGACTGTTGTAAAATCCTAATACTGCAATTGTGTCACAGTCACTTTTCAATCCACTGCTGGATGAAGGCTTCCCCACGTCAAGCCAGTTTTATTGGACCATGCTAAACCACGCTCGTCAGTGTGGATTGGTGAAGGAGCGCACAAGTATGGTGCAACAATGGGTTGTTCTGCACTGCCCTCTGATGTGCACAATGTAGACAATTCAAGCATTATCCAAGCTCATCAGTGTGGGTAGAGTGACACTCAAGACTGGCTCATAAATTTACTCGCCACCAATGTTAGCCATGCATGGGAATCCAACTCAAGATTGTTGTTTTTCTAGTGCAGTTTGCTAACCACTGCACCGTGTAGGCCTGTACAGTCACTGCCATGATTGGGGGACATGCAAATTGATTCAAGAAAATCAATTATTATTTTCAGAAACATTGTGGCGCATCCGTGGCGGTCTCGGGAACGGCACGTGATGCTTACGAGTCCATGTGAATCGCTTCTGGCGCGCACGCGACTCGTTGGCACGCACGGCGAGCGGCAAGGGATCCGTTTTGAAAGCGAAGAAGCAGTGAGTCGTCGGCGCTGAACTACGTGAATGATAAAACGCGAAGCGGACAGCACCGTCTCCCTACGGACGACTTGCGCGCCAGCGCAATGCTACTGCTGCGGGGCGCGAGGTTGCGACAGCCCAGCGATCCAACCGTCCGCTCGGAGCTAAAGTAACGGCGAAGAGGAAGACGATAAACAAAGCAGCGTGGCGGCGAGTGTACACATCGCACACTTTGTCCTCTCGTCTCTTGTCCCCTACCCATCGGGCCAACTCGGGTAAACACAAAAAGTCGAGGTGCTAACGACACACTAAAGCGTACCCACAGCTACTGCGTCTTCAAAAAAAAAAGTTTCCGCGAAACGAAGTGATGCTCGTCCATGCAATTACTAGGGGTGGAACGCACATCGCGATTCCGCGTCGACCGGTGCCGCTCGATTCAAGAATCCTTTTGTTTTTACTTTGTGTCAATGAAAGGTAGCGGCTTCTCTGAAGTGACTGCAGGGGTGTCCAGAGCCCATGACATCAAGGGATTGAAAATAATTGATTCTTAAGTGATTCTTAAAGGCTTGTCGGTATGGGTTAGTTTAGGGTGGGGCAGGTTGCCCAAGACCGGTTCAGGTTATCACTCGCCACTTGTGTTAGAAGACATGGCCTGGAATCAAACTCAGACGGTTGGGTTCAAAGCACAGTTTGCCAACCACTGTGCACCAAAACTTACAATGTAGGCTCGTCGAAAAAAATAAATTCCCACACACACACAGACGAATTGATGCACATATTCACGAGCATTAAGAATCCATAAAAAATCTACGAATCAATACATTGTTCCACCCCGACTAATTACGTGGCACATTAGTCTTCCCAGAAGGCAATTGTCTACTCTGAGGTCATCACAACCCTGACCCCTGAACCCTAACCCTGTCGCCCCCCATACCCCTTCTTTAAAAACAACCGTGATTTTACCCTGATGTCGACGCATTGCTTGTTTAATCTGGCACTGGGTGGCAAATGTACACCACGCACGTCCGTGACTCCACAGCCAAGTCAACAACGAAACAGCTGAGTGCCCTGGCCACCTGGCTTACCACAGCTCCGTTAAAGATCTGCCTTCAAACGAGTCTCATGTTGTAAGTAATGAATATACAGTATATGTTTAAAAATATATATTATATCGATAACATTTCGTACTGTTTGGGTAAAACGTTACTTTTTATTTTTTGTTTTACAATTTTTTTTTTATTATTATTGCTATTGCGGAAGCTTCCACGTGAAGATGTGACTGCGAGTTCCGCTATTATACCTCCTTCACTACGCGAGAGTTCACGAGGGCAGCTGTAGGAACAGAGCAACAGTGCAGCGCATGTAGACCCTGCGTGCGCGCGTCTGCGCAGAACATTCACGCTGGTTTCTGTTTCATCACCTGGAGGCAATTTCGTGGAACTGTCCATCGCAGTAAAAAAAAAATACACTCTAAAAACAATAAAAGCCCCGAGCGTTCTAAAAGTTTTTTCGGCGAATGAAAGACACCAGCAAAAAAAATAAACCCTGCTTGGGATTTCCCCAAACCACCTCCTCCCAATGCGGGCAAAAAAAAAATCAAACCCAGCAACAAAAAAATAATAATCAAATAAAAGTTTACAAGAGTTGAATTTCATAGCAACTAGGAGAGAGCAATGGCAGCCACATAGAAAGACAAGTTTTGGCAAGCCCTTCTACAAGCTAGTGGGCCACAACAACTCAGCTGGGTCATGGGACACCACGACGAGAAACTTCTCTAAAATTCACACAGCGGCAGACATGTCGGGGGGACCCCGATAGAGAGGACCAGTAGGTTATGAAATACTCGTGTAGATTTTTAATGCCCACAGAGCCACTGACCGGGTTCGCTCGCGTCACCTGAGCACGGCAAGGGCCCTTTCGCAAATCGCCCCGTTCGTTTGTGGTCGTGGCTGTACTTGATGAGGGTTAGCGGAGGGAGCAAAAACGCCTCCCGATTCCAGTTGTGACGAGGCCGACGCGTCTTGGTTTGATGCCGGCGCCAAGACCCAAGAAACACTCCCGACTGCGCAACCCAGCACGCCCGTGCAATTACGCAAACTCTTTGGGCAGGCACGCACGGAAGATGCTCGGTGCAAGAGGTGGTGTTCAAGGCCACGCGTGGAGACGAAGGGAGTCCAGGCCATTTGGGATCGATGAGATCAAATGGACGTCAAAAAATATGCCGGCACGGAACCCGCGACTAACTGCGTCGACCGCCAACGTCGGAACCAAGACTGTTGCTCGAGTCGGCCGCCAGCAAAGGCGACACAGAGAGCGGCCCACCACCAACATTGCTTGGCTTGCGTTTTTCCGACCAGGTTCACTTCGATGCAGACACAATGATTCTCAGGACGAGAAGGGGAAGCGCGCCATGGCGCTTACAGCAGACGCTGTCCAACGTGGAACCGAACTCCTCGTCCACGCGCACATCTGTCCGTCACAACCCCTTTCCCCGTTGCCTCGCTCGCCAATGCAGTCTGTAGCTGCTCGCCGAAGCCGACCTGGCGTGGCGAGCGAGCGAGCATCCGCGCAACCGGGCTGGGAGAGGGGGGACGACGACACCGGCTCAATTGTTCGCAGTTGCCGTCTGCTGCGGCTTCTGCAGCACGGCCGGCAGACCCGGCGGTTTTTTTTTGCGACGCTTGTTCAGGAGTGGGTTGCTCGAGTCCTCCAGCGTCTTGATCTTCACCTGTTCGTAGTCGACCCGCATCGTGGCCAGCGCGCTCGTCATCTCGTCCTGCGCACGCGACGCACAAGCGACGGGCACGTTCGCCGAGTTATTAAAGCGACTTTGTCGTCGCCGCGATGCTCCACAGCCGTGCCGCTCGCGCCGAACAACTCGGAATCCTGCAAGGAGCCTTCGGTCCGAGGCTATTGAGCTGCAGGGATCTGGACTACACATCAGGGGGCAGCACTTTGCCCACCCGCACTGCCACATGGCAATCAAGTCAATATTTAAAATTAATACATTCTCACAGGTAGAATGTGCCACAAATTAAGCAAAGAAACAAATTTCACGGGAACAGATTTTGTTTGTCCAGTTGTTGGCAACCGGGCTGAGACCTTCAACGCCCTATGCCTGAAAGTCCAGTCGATTACAGGCGGCTGGCCTGGATTAGAACACAGGACTTTAGCAGTGCGGGCAAGCGAAGTACTCTGATCTTTGCGCCACCTGATCAGCTCTAAAAAAAAAAAAAACTAAATATTCATCCGCATCATGAGCACATGCAGACCTATCCTCCAGCGATCCGTCAACCCCACTGCCTGAGCCCCAACAGACTGCCAGTGAGCAGGATGACCAGTACTCAGGCTAGCGTGGTAACAGTAAAGACTTCACATGATGTTACCTTCACATCTTCCCAGAGCTCCTTCTCCTCCTTAAGCACCCGGCTGGTGTGGAGAGGCGTCTGTGGCACCTCCATTAATTGCTGCAAATTAGAATTAAACAAACGCAGATCAGTCATGACACTTTCTCTGTGCAACTATACAGTAAAAAAATTGCAACAACAAAAAAACAATATCATTGCCTCTCAACTACCCGAGTGTCTTCTTCTTGGTTCTTTCGGTAAAGTCACGTAGAAGGGAAGTAATAAAATAATAAAAATAAAACATAATAAAACAATTCTCACGACGTTTCGGCCACAACGCAAGCAGCCGTCCTCAGGTGAAGAATGAGACAATACCCGAGTGTGTTAAGTGAAAATGTTCAATATGTTTACGCGTGTGGTGGTTTAGTTATAGACTGTTCCTCACTCGTCAAGGGTCAGTGACTCAGAATTCACGTGGACCACAAAAAACATTGAGCCGATCCCGTTAAGAAGCAATAAAACCTGGTGCCACATGTTACATCTTCCTCCCCATTCTAGGAAAGTAAACGATAAATAGGCGTTTATAGGCGAAAATATTTTGCACCGTACCGTTTGATCGTAAAAAAAAGAAACACGGGTCGTGAAAACAATTGAGAATGCAGCGTGACACACCGTTCGTTTGGCTACTAAAATACCTTGAGGCCAAGTCAACGATGAATCGACAGTTCTGCTTTTGTGTGGCTGATGTATATGCAGAGCAACAACTACAATTTCACACTCAGGTGGTCAAGCGATTCAACCGCATGAGGAGCAGCGGAGTGTCTTGTTGTGAATTGTTACGTGAAGTTGCAATTAGCAAGCAGCGAGGGGAATTTAGGCAAGAGGTGACACTTTCAACAGAGGTAGAAAATGGTGGGAAACCAATTGTTTGAATGTTCTTTGAGATGTCACTCGTTTAACGGAGGAGAGAAGTGAGATCTCCCAAGCCTGGATTCTGAGAGAAGGCAGAGGCATGGGCAACTAGGAAGAGTAAATTCCAAACAATAGCTGTACAGGGACAAAGATCCCCTGGTTTAGCCTACAAAGGCTGTCGGGGCAAGTGCTGTTACAACCTATGAAGGGCAGAACTGCATTCTAGGCGGGGGAGTCATTCCGTCTCCCAGCTAAGTCTCCCCAGTGTCGATGTTTTGCACACCGCAGCAGCAGCTACTCATGGAAGGCTGAGTCTACCTATGGAAAGGCACGGGACAGGTTCAGATATTCACTACCGATGATGGGAATCGACACGTAGGTTCACCGATTTTATAGGGGGTAGTGATTACAAATAGGCCACCGCTTTCCCTACAACAACAACCGCCACTCACCATTAAGTGGCGGTGAATTCACCACGGCGCTTGTGCCATACTAGACGCACTTTGAGATCACGTGAAATGTCAAAGCCCCGCTCGCAGGAGGTCACGGAACAGACCCAGGTGCCATGGGTTGACCGACTGAGATGACAGATGTACCAACTGTGCTTCCCACTGTGCCAACTTAGTTGCGTTTTATCCACCCGGCGCTCTGCTCGTTGTTGTGAGCGTCCCTCCTCTGCCCTCGATTGTTGCTCGAGGGCAACTGCCTCCAACTCCCCAGCAGAGTCCATCATGAACCTCCTACAGAAGCCTTTCTTGACACTGCTGGTACCAGTCATCAGCAAATCCAATCAGCTCCACATCCTTCTGTACCACATCAGTCCACCTCTTCTCTAGCCGTGCCGCACCCGTTTAGCCTCATCTATCCAGCCAAACAGAAGCTGCTTGGTCATGCTGTGGCTGGGAATACGCGGGCTACACGACCTGCATGTAGCTTTCTCTACACACACACACACAAGCAAGCACTCGCGCGTCTGCGTCAGCGCTGGAGTGAGGTTACACAGCCTGACTGGGAAATCCGAGCGCAATGCGGCAGCACGTACGTTAATCCAGGGGTGGTTCATGAACTCGGCGATGGTCATGCGTTCCGTCGGATCCGTCTTGAGAAGCTTTCGGATGACCTGCTTGGCTGCGAGCGGAGCACAACGAAGTGACAGAATGGCACCGACCTCTAGCGCATACGTACAGCAAAGCCTTAAGAGACAGTTGGGGCAAGTGCTGCTTGCGGGCATCTATGAAGGCCAGCACCGCACACGAGGGGGTGGGTGGCCTAGCCCCACGCCCGACCGCCTTTCTCTCCCCAGTGGCGATGTTTACACACCGCACCGGGTACTCATTTGAGACCGAGTCGACATAGGGGAGGTCTCAGTACCAGGCTCGCTAACCGCTCCACACAAAGACAAACACGCACACAAACAGGCCAAACGCGGTTGGTGGCTTAGTCGCACGAGCGATGTTTTTGAGGCCGTCTCGCTCACCTTCCTCGGACACGGCCGTCCACTCTGGGCTGGGAACTCGTACTGGCCCAGGCGGATGCGCTTCTTCATTCCGGGGGAGATGGCGAGGCCGTGGTTCGAGTAGAACGGAGGGAACCCGCACAGCCTGGGGAGGGGGTGGTCACACAAAAGCCGGGTCACGCCGTAGAGTGCCATTAGTGTGGATGACCCTGGTCCCCGCCATTGGACTGTGTAGTTCGCACAGCTAGGTAAGAGCCAACAAGAGTGAGAAGTGCCTTCTCGATACTCACTAGACCCACGACATTTTGACTGAGCGCATCGCGCAAATGATGACGATAATGACGACTGTGATATTGATGGTGACGATGGCGATTAAGACGATGACGGCGATGTTGGTTGTCTGCTACTGCAGAGCCAAAGCGCGTCTCCGTCGCGCGGTGCCAAATCCGCTGACGCAAAAGTGTGAGAAACGACGTCTGGCGGCAAGCGCGTTGACTTACAGGATGTACATGATGACGCCGAGGGACCACATGTCGCACGACTTGTCGTATTTTTCTGGCCCCAAGACTTCTGGAGCTGAAAATAACAAACAAAAAACCACAACACACGAAACACGTCGGCGTACGTAACCAGCCCCAAGCGCTGCACCCACTCGCGGTGCACAGCAGGTGAGAGATTGTCGGTTGAGGGTGGGTTAAAATCAGGTGCCTGCCACAAAAGCCTACTTGGCACACGTCGTGGCCCTGCGGGAGATAGACGCTCACGTCAATGACAAATACAAATCATCGCGGACGGAAATACTCGATGTAGAAAAATCAATTAAATGGCGGGTGTGATTTACATGCACGACCGCGTACTGTGTGTGCTTGAGATCAGGTGGGTAGGCACGCGGAATATATTTTGTGTTTCCGCGGCATTCTGAGACTGCTGCTGTGGCCTACGCACGTGACCCTGAATATCAGAGGGAAGGGTTGGAGGATCACGCAGACTTTGTGCAACTCCCAAACCGAATGGGCTGTCACGTGACCACGGAGATAGAAATTCATCTGTGAGCTTTTAAGTTGAGCTCCCAGTTTCCTCCCACGTGAAGCCGAACGCTAACTATTGGATTTGGAGAAACATCCCAAGCAGGACCACGCAAGGCTCTGCCGAGTCAAGGACATTCACATTGAGCATTAATATTACGAATGAGAAACTTCATCCCCAGTCAGCCCCCTTCCACATATGCACGCACGTACGTTGAACTTCTGTCGCACCGTACGTAGCCAACAGTGCGAATCGGAGGTGCGGAGGAAGGACAACAAACTACACTAGGAGCAGTAGTGTAGCTAGAGAGATGGGGGGGGCAAATTAGATAGGGAGCCCCACCATTGAATTCCTTGCAACAGAGGCCCATGCCAGCCAAGCTATGCCACAGTCACACAGGCATCCCAAATACAACTAAAACTAAACTATTTTTTACTTTACCAAAGAAGGCCCACTGAGCTATGTAGCTCTTCTTCAGAAACGGCCTGGTTATCGCAAATGATAGCTCAACGAAGTGGCTCATGACGTGGATTTTAAAAGCAGGTCCAAATACTCAAAAACGCACGTTGATTTTAAATGCGGAGGGAAAAACTGGAGGACCCGGAGAAAAAGGCATGCGACCACAGGGAGAGAGAGAGAGAGACATGCAAACTCCAAATATACAGACGTCAGGATCGGGATCTCCAACCCCAGACCTCCTGTATACCAGGTGGGGTCATTAAAATCTTACCACCGTGGCACCCCACGCAGCCCTCCACATCCGGGAGAGGGTGCACGCAGGGGTACAGGAAGAGAGACAAGCAAGGAAGATACCGGTGAGAAGGGATCAGGGAAAGGAATTGGAAGAAGCCGAGGTGAGACCAGGGAGGCGAGACTTGAGGAGGACCAATCTTAATTTTTGGAGCTTTCGTGACTGCAGGAATTATTCTTTGGTTTTTTCGGTAAAGTCACGTATAAAGATAAAAGAATAAATTAAATAATAGCATACGACGTTTCGATTGCAACACAAGCAATCATCATCAGGTATAATGAAATAGCGACATAGAATCTAACCAGAAAACTATAGACAAACATGTAAGCAGACAGATATCACCAAGATACATAGAGAGAGCAACCCAGGAACAGAGAGGGGTGATCGTCTCTGTGGGGTGGCCTTAAATAGACAGAGGGGGGGCGAAGGCAGAGAGAGGAGGACCGGTACGGCAGGCTCTCCGCGTGACCGGTGGTGGGAGTAAGGAAGAGGGGGGGCCGACTGCGGTGAGCTGGGGGGGTACGGCGCAGGCGCGCGGCGCTCACCGACGTAGTAGGGCGTGTAGCACGGCGTCGCCAGCGAGTTGAAGCTGAGCGTCTCCTTGGCGAAGCCGAAGTCGGTGAGCTTGAGCACGGGGTCCGATCGCCTCGACGTGTACAGGAGGTTTTCGGGCTGCGCCAGCGCGAGCAATGGAAATGTAAGGGGGGAGGGGGAGGGAATTGTAAAAAAAAAAAGAGGGGAAAAAAGACGAGGAATTTATAAGGCGTTGCTCTTACAGGGGCAATTTTAAACGCGTTGCATTGACCTGCGGCTTCTAACCTAGGGGAGGAACCCCCCGCCCCCCAGCGGTAACCATCTCCGACACGACACAATGAGACTTAGGGGGGCTTGGCAAAGTCGCGCATTTTGATGATCAGACTGAGCGCTGCACAACGACTCGAGTCTGGCACGATACGAGACACGAGGGAGAGACAGAAAGAGAGACGGAGATCCAGGACTGCCAACCCCCGGATTGGAGAGGGACTGAAGGAGGGACCGCGTAGATTAGATAATATATGCAGGTTAATGATATCGAAGAAAAAGTTGGCTTGGCCAGGACACTGCTGGAAGGGACGATGGCCAATGGTGAAGAACAATAATGGAAGTGGCAACCAATGAATAACAGCAGGGAGATAGAGCAACGAAATCAATGTGTGAGCAGGCGCCGGGTTGATTATTACATCATAGGATAATGAGGTGGTTGGTGGCTTGCGCAGGCCTTCATCCAGCAGTGGATCGACCATGGTTGATGCCCTCTCGTGATCCCCGACAAGTACAAACCAAACCAGCTGGGCCGTTAAAGTGAAAGCCACCCAGTCTGGCAGTTTTTTGTGAGAATTTGTTACAATACGAATAATTAAATAAACGCGGAAAGAAAAGTTACAAAATCGCGCTTCGTACGTTTACTTGTTTCAAGAAAGCACGAATGACGTAGTGTACGAGGCTAAGGGAAAATTTGACAGTGATTTATGGAAGAGGTTTCAGGGCACATTTTGCCTCCCCACCAATATTGCCCCAAAGAACGTATAGAAACCAGTCCAAATTGCCATCAAATGAACCCGAATAGTGTCGTGAACGGTCATCGACTGAAACGATATACTTAGCAATGGCTTACTGATGTAGTGAGCATCACGTATGGAAATACACATCTGGAATTAAATACAAGTTGAGAAGGAGTCTTGAAAAATAAAAACATTGTCTTCTTTTTTTACCAAAGCAAATAAAGGAACTTTGTCCGACTTCTGAATGTTTGCCGTGGTAAATGTTTTTGGTTCAACAACACCATGCTGCCAAAGCCCTTCACACTTCACAGGATTTCTGAAGCAAAATAAATGAACTTTTAAATATCATGGCCTTAACTGACCTTTGACCATACACCACCCGGTGGAATGTGCCCAGATCTCCTCACATCTCAGAAGCTAAGCTGGTTGGAGCCTGGACCAGCAACATTCGCTGTGCGACCACCGTTCGTTAACAGGCGTTATCGGCTGCGGCAGAGCTGCATTGTCAGCAGCAGAGGGGGCAGTGCAGTGACATCTATTGTACCTGTACTGCCACGTCTGTTCTCCCTGCCTTCACAAACCCACACTGACGAGAGTGATGAAGTATGCTCAAATACACCACGTGATCCGCGGGGTTGAATTTTTATAAATCGTCCGAAAATCATGAGGAGCCTGGGCCTTTAGGTGCTATGCTCCCCGACTCTGGAACACTTATTACAAGCCATAGCAGGAGTGCAGCTGGCAACATCGAATCTTTCAAATCAAATGTAAGTCCATCAACCCATTGGCTTTCCAGACCAATATTATCGAGCAGCATTTCGTTGAAGCAAGCAAACTGCGGAATGGTTTTAGCCTTCTTGAATCTCATCAGCAGAGTCTGGAATGTTTATGAAATCTGGCCGGATTACCAGATCGTATTGGCATCAATAACATCCGGGGCCCCGTTCAGCGCAAATGGCAAAACTTCTTGAATTAGCTTATATTTGATCGGGACTGATCGAGCAATGGCTTTTTGAGTTTTATTTTATTTTCCAGTGTCCTGGGGATGCTGTGCACGAAGGGAGCCGCGTCAATGTATAACGATATCGTGTCGTGGTGGGGGAGATGGCAACGACTTGCCTTGACGTCACGGTGAGCGATGTTGATGGAGTGGAGGTGTTCGATCGCCCTTCCGATGTCCTCTCATGATCTCCGACGCTTCTGCGTTGTTGAAAGAGGCGATGGCATCGTGGAGTTAATCGACAAAAACAAAATCAACGCGAATCACTTGCGTAAAGTGTGTTACAGTGCGTACGCACACACACACGCACAGCACAATAGTACAATGAAACCAAATCGTGCCCAGAGAAGAAAAAAACCGGACCAAGATAAAATCACAGAAAGGAACTGCAAAGTTTCACAATTACTAAGCTACTAACCAATGGAGGGGCAAGCGTGCCTCTGCATTGTCTCTTTTTACCCCGAATCCATCTTATAAATCTCTAATGCATCATCACAGCAGTTTGTAAATTAAAAAATATGACCGATTTTCCCCAGCCTGTGCCTCGCCCGTTCCTTAGTCGTCCCCGCCGTCTCCCCATCAGGACCCACCTCGCTCGGTGAACGCCTGATCGCCCCGGTCCTGGATTCTGTTGAAGAGTTCGCCGCCTTCCATGCTGCCGACGGGGGGGGGGGGGGGGGGGGCAAAGAGGGAAACACAAAGCCGAGAAGCGTCACTGCCGTGTCCTCAAAAAGCCGGGATGGTGCGCGACACCGGCTGAAATACTGCGGGGTGTATTCACGCCGTCAACCTTCACAGCGAATGTTAAATGCCCCGTGACGATGCTCTATAGGCGATTGTGTGCAAATTAATTGGAGGAAAAGCTACAAAGCAACATCGCCCGCGACTGGTGGACTATACACATACGTGAAACATCGTGATTTTCTAGGATAGCCTTTCGCAATAAGAACGGCACAATATTCCAAATGTATTCAAACACGTTCCTTCAGAGTGGGCAGGTAGGAACTTGGTTGGACAGCGCATTCGTGCACGACAGACAAATATGCACGACAGACAGACAAATACTCCCTGGTGGGCAGTGTGGAACCTGTTGTTCCTACCTGTATTATAATGATTATCAATCCAACTGAGCAGAGTTTTCAGTTGTTTATTGTGCTCAATCACAACGGCTTATGACAAGGTCACATATTTCAGGGTTGAGCGTGGACAGTGCTTGGATGGGTTGACACCATGCACAAGACAGGTGCTGTAGTTATGCTGTGAGTAGCATACAACAATGCAGCAAAGTCCATTGTTGTATCTACTTCTAAGCTGCTATGGTTACCGCCTTCATCAATTTGGCATGTCCTGCATGGTGACGTATGAGCCTTTGAAAATCCATAGTCTGATGTGTAAAGCGATTAGAACTGAAGAACCAAAATGTTATTGTTTACATGTTTTGTTTTTGTTAAGCGTGATATTTTATTTTTATACACGTGCCATAACATACCCTTGTACTGTTGTTTATTTCATTATCGTCATTTACCCGAAACCTTAAACAATGTAGACCACATGTGGTATAATTATTTAATGACCACCAACTTTCCATGTTCTTCGTGCTTGGAATCAACAACAAACAGTGGGACTTTTACAGTGCAAAGCGAAGCAATCACTTGGTTCTGGTCGTTTAAACGGGCAGCAATCCTATGGTTTAAACGGGGGCTCTCTTCATGGTTGCCATACAAACCACACTTTAACTTGGAAATCACAGCATGGCAAGTGGTTTCCACGGTCAGCAAAAACCGAGTGGTAATTTCCTCAAAACCAATGCAAGTCATAAATGGCCTCAAGAATGACGACATAGTTTACACTGCCCGTATATGTACTGTCGTTAAACTGCATTTACAGGATAGCATGTACGTTTATTAGTCTATTTATCCAAACGCTATCGAAAGACACCTGTGCACACAAACGATCTTTCTCGGCAGTGGACAACCATCCACTGCTGAGCAACGGGTAATATCTCCTGCGGTCCACCTTCCACTTCCTTGCTCCGTGCCCTGCTATCGAGACCCACATCCATGCCTTCGTCAAATCATCGACTCAATGAGCGCAACCCTCTCCGCTAAACCCGTCCCTACCCCTTCACCCACAAACTCCAGGTGACGCAGAGTGCTACCACCGAACAACTCTCCTGCGCCCATGAATTTGGCCACGTTGCTCCGGCCTAAAAGGTCCCTCTCTCCGCTGGCTTTTCAGCGAGAAATAGGGTGAGCAAGCTGGGCTGCATCTTCTATTTACCCATGTACGTACTATCGTATGTACCCGGAGGTGACCACTCCGCGGTTGAAACGTTCACGCGCGCTATTCAGTACATTCACTGCTAAAATCCTACTGGAATCGGTTACCGACATTCGAAATCAGTAATCGATGATGAAAACGATTACCGATTTACCAGTTAAATTTCGACTTAAAGCTTTCGTGACTACAGGGATTCATATTCTTGGTTCTTACGTAGAAAGGAAATAATAAAATAAAATAAATAAAACAATTAAATTCTCACGACGTTTCGGCCACCTGAGGACGGCTGCTTGTGCTGTGGCCGAAACGTCGTGAGAATTGTATTATTTTATGTTTTAGTTGTATTATTTTATTTCACTTCTACGTGACTTTACCGAAAGAATCAAGAATATGATTTACCAGTTACCATTAAACAATCCTCACTCGAAGTCCTCGGTGAACTATCATTCCATGGGAGGTCACACTTTCTCTGCTGCTGACCCCACAGTCAGGAATGATCTTCCTCTGATCATCACAGTGCTAAGGCACCTACCCTGCTCAAGTCTGAAGTCAAGGGTCAAGACCTCTCTCTTCTCTTCCGCCTATGACTGTCTCTCTCTTTCTACGAAGTGTCTTTGTTGTCACATTTAAAATCGTGACATCTCAATTCCTCCCTGGCCTGTTTCATTCTTGCACTTGTTAATTGCTCGACAACAACAAAAAACAAACTCTTCTTTCTTTAAAACTCCGCGGATGCACACCTTCCCCCCAAATTTGTACATCATCTTGAGATGCCACGTCATTTTAGACGCTTTACAAATCCAAAGTATATACACTAAGTACGGTGAACCCGGCAACCCTAGCAGGATTCCCGGCCACGGCTAACATCGATGCCAAGTGATATCTTAAATGGTCCTAGGCATGTGCCCTCTCACAACCCGCACGATTCAGCGTCAAGCATGAACAAACAACCCCCACATGACCCACATGGTGACGTGCACTGACACAAAAGGGTTGTAAATTACTTTAAAATGTTTCTTTTGTTTTTGGCAAATAACACCAGGGCTAAATATTAGGTTAAGTTGGAGACAACCTCTGCCACACAAGTGGTTTCCTGAACAGTACTGATAATATAATTAGTTAAATGCATTGATTAATTGATCATCAAAATGGTAATATGTTTTGTTTATAATTAAAATAATTGTCAGCCATTTAAAAATAATGGACACCGCGCACACCCGGCCTTAAAAAAAAAAACAGGAAATGCACTCACTGCATGTGCTCCCGATGTTTGAAACAATCCGAGAATCTTAAAAAAAAAATCAATCCAAGATACGAAATTTCTGCCAATGTAAACCGAGCCGTAGTTTACACGGATCTGAAACCCGCCAAAAATAGTGCTGCGTAGCATCGGTGGATTTCATTCTTGGTAGTGCTTAGAAATTTTACACGAGTACACAATGTAAGTGACCTGTGAATGTGACATTTTTCTTTAAAGATTGGAAAATCCAAACAGTTTTTCATCCATAACCCATCCCGACCACCATGCACGTCCAGCAAGACGTGGCAGCGATGAGCAATGAATATCACCTGCCACCAACTCAACCTCGGGCACTTTAAACACATCTCGAATCTCATCTGTGAACATTGCTCATTAATTCATGAAAAAAACGATCGACTTATTTTTATCGTATTAAACGGATCAGCCATTATAATTACAACAATAATCGATGGATCGATCGATTATTATTTAGCCGCAACGCCGGTGTGCACAGCGTTACCGGGTGAAACCTGTTTCCAACGAGCGGTCACCGAACCCACCGTGTGTTCCACTTGGCACGACAACACAGGCAGCAATTCCTGTTCCACCACCGGTGGTGACATTTGAAGAAGCAAGCTCTCTCGTAAGGGTGACATGCATTTAATTTTCTCGCGAGTGTTACCGCTTTTCTCTGCGGCTGGGGGGATTTTTTTCGCAAGCTAAAATTAACCGATGCAAAACTTGCAAGTCGGGATTCGTGTGGCAGCTCCCTCCCCTGCTGCTGCTGCTGCTGCTAGAATGTTGAGTGGGGGCATAGCAATGCCCCCACGTGGCCAAGTCAGCTACCTACCAGTGGCGACTGCACACACAGACACCCTCACTACTTTTTCATTTATATCCTTACTCTTAGACGCCTTTGCTATATGCAACTATTGGATGAAGGCCTCCCCGCATGCCGCGTTCATCAAATTACACATTCGTCCGTTATTTTTTTAAATAGTGACAATTATTTCACAAACCACCAGCTTAACGTTCGTAATTCCAGCAGTGCGGCTTGTAAGCTAATTACCATAGTGTCTTGATTTTAAGATGCTCCGGAAAGAAAGGTGCACCCAAAATACTTGTGCCAAGTGTCAATTAAGTTTTACAAATCTGGTCTCAGACACATACACACCTACCAGATTATAAAATGCAACCCCCAAACATATGTTTTAAATACAGGGGGGGGGGAGGTGTCTTATAATCTGGACAAGACGATAATTCACACTTCAATATATTCTTCGCGAGCATGGGGATAGTGGTGTTTAAGATGGCTTAAGCATGGTATGTTGTGTCAATTCTGTTTAATTGTTTTCTTTGTTAATGCTATTTAAATTATATATATTGCTTGTGTATAACAATAATGTTTTGTATGGTCGCCTGGGAGGGTCTGGAGAGACGCAGTTGTATTTAGATGATTTTTTTTATCCAACGTGTTATTACTTCCTTAACAACACACGATGTGTTTGATTACAATCACGTGGCTGCCGGGTAAGACACAATATCTCCTCTACAAAGGAGACCTTAGACCCAACCAAACACCAATTACTGTGATTCCAATTAATTTAGGATTATAATAACTAGCTACTTGCTCTAATTGGCTTAATGTGAGAGCATGTTAACGACTAGTTTCATCAGCCGGAGGTATTAGGGGAACAAAAATATAGAAGACACGACCACAATACTTAATTTAAAAAAAGATGCACATCATCAGTTCATGTGCGTTTTTCTTCTGGGAATCGGTTTTGTTCGCAGAAAACGTTGTGGTCAAGACAAAAATGCATTTGTTTAATTTCCCAAGATGTATTTTACCCTGTCAACAAATAACGCAATGGTGCAGAGAGCCTGCCAAACCCCCATCTTCTTGAGACGTTCGCCACAAAAATGACAGTCATTTGACTCTTGGCAAGGAAGGATAAAGGTGGATAAAGGTGGATAAAGGCGCAGACCTGCAACGGCTTGCTCACACCACTTCAGGCTGAAGAGCCTCCACTCGTGGCAGCTCTAGAAAATCCCCTCTCTGGAGGGTAATTGGCCTCCTCTTCCACGTTGGCCAGATGCCTTGGAAGAGGTTGAGGGGTGCCCATGCTTTACCCCACCGCGCACGATGCACAGCAAATTGGCGGTCAACGTTGGAAGTAGATCGCGACCCTCAAAGAAATGGCGCTGCTTCCTGTGGTCGCCCCCCGTCATCCCCCGCCCCCCACCGTGGATCAAACAAATCACTCGAGACACGCCGGTGTATGTCAGCAAGAGCAGTTTCACGTGATCGCTGTTCGCAAGGGGTCACACGTTTGGCGCAATGGTCCTTTGCTGACCACGCGCGATGAATGAATGACGCGACCTGCCGATCGATCGGCTATCTGCCGTGAACCCATTTGTACTGCTGGGTGGAGAGACCAATGGGGGGGGGGGGGGATTTAATAAACCGGCACCACCATTTCAACTACCATGCCCCGGGGTTTCAAGCGGCGACCTCTGGATTGTACCGTCCAGCTAACCGCGACACCGCGGCAGCTTCCCCAACCCACGTCCATCTAAAGATGAAAAACTGCCCAGCGAAGGGGGCATGATCCGTCATCTCCGCCGACAAACAAACACCAGAAATGGGCGAACAAAACGCCGTCCTGAATGCGCCGCACAGGCAGTGCCTCATGGCCACCACGTGCGGAGCGCCCATCGATCGCAGCCACGAAAGTTGGTGGTGCCTTATGAAGGCCACCCACAAACCGGTGCCTGTAAATTCTCGACGCTGGCAGCAGGGGGGGGGCTTTTCTGTCCTCGCCGCGTGACCGCAAAACTCCACACAAGTCACATGGCAACGACGGAATCACGGCAAGTCCTCGCTTATCGCGTGTTCACACTAAACACGGTTCTTCCATTTGGGAATGCTTTTTCGCAAAACGCGGACCGCGCACACCGTTACAAAGCGGTTTCTGAGCGGTCGACGTCGAACTACTTTCTTGAACTGCGCGGCCGAGCGGTACAGTGATAGAGTACGCGGAATGAAAAATTCGCGCGGCGGTGGCGTATTTAATTGTTACGTGGAGGCGAGCGGAGGTCAGTTTACTTATTGTCCACAAAATGTGATGGGTTATAGTTGTTTAACATTCCAATAGGCACGGGGTGGCTACGTATGGTGCGAAAGAGGTTCAACATAGATGCATACGACATTCCTTCCTGCAAGGGGCGTGCTTCACTTCTGCACTGAAACTTCGTTCGTGTAATTACATTCACCACCAGGTGGGGGAACCCCACGTCTGGTTTGAAAAAAAAAACTTGAGCAGAGCACGTTTCAACACTGTTGGCTTTTCCCTCCGGCCGTAACGAAAGAATGTGCCGGCTATTGCTCTTGTGAATGAGGCCAATCCAGATGTCTAAGAGGTTATGAGTCACTCAAGTCGAGACATTTTGTTTTTACTCAGTTCACCCACCCCAGCATTGCCTTAAAGCTGAGATTTCTCATTTAGAGGCAAAGTTAACCTGGGTTGACCGTAGCCTGTAACTTGGTGAGGTGTTTATAAGGGACTGGCTTTACTACCCGGCTTCGCCCGGGACTTGGATTCTTGTCTTGGAATTAATACTCGGCCGACGTAGAGGGTGGGGGGGGCTGCGTGACGTCAGCAGGCACACTGAGTGACGCTGCCGCATGCGGGTGACATCAGAGATGTGACGTCAGATATGTGACATCACAGATGTGACATCACAGATGTGACGCCACAGATGTGACAGCACAGATGTGACGTCACTGCTCACTTGCCATGCATTATTGCGCCACCCCCCCCCCCCCCCCAAAATACTAAAGTCTATTTTTAGACTTTTTGCATTGTGTACAGTCTGGAAGCTACCCACATGGCAAATTTCAAGTTTGTTGCATGTCGGGAAGTATGCTAAACATTTCAAACAGACACACATATTCACAAATTTCCCTTTTTTATATATATAGATGTAACAATCTAACAATTCACCGCAATCTCCTCCACTAACCCCAAGCATTCAATGAACTTTCATCATTCAGAGCAGCAATGCAAGCAAAGAATGTATTCATTTCAATTTTTCTGGCGAACACAGCTGCTTGATGGGTCACGTGAACCCATAACTTGCAACGTGCACACGTGATTCAGTGCAAGTATCATACATCAGCACGACCCGAGGTATTGGTCCTAACCCTAACCCTGAAAGCATCAATAAAGTATTTTACAGCCATGTGTGCATCCACTGCTGGATGAAGGCCTGCCCGTGCCATGCCGGCCATGGGGACTGTTAGACAATACTTCATCACGCTGATCAACGTGGGTTGGTTAAAGCTGGGAGCATAGACTTGCGGTATAGTACAGTACAGCAATGGGTTTTTTTCCACTGCCCTCTGGTTTTCAATACGTAGCCCCACAGCCGCCTATAACAACTGTTTGTGCAAGGTGGTCGCCCATCCAGTCGCCATCCAGGCTCGACCGTGCTTAGCGTCTGACATCTGTTGAGATGAGACACTTTCCGATTCATCTGGCCATACTTGGCAAATGTTGTACAAAACAGATCGTAAAACGGTTACCATCCACCACACAACGTCTTGCCACATCACAACACGTTACACCAAGCCACGCAACACCTCTCACGCCGCACGAAATCGCACGATGCCACGACGCGCCTTCTTCCTCTTATTCATGGAGAGATGAGAAACACGGCAAGAGCTCAAATAAGGTTGACTCAGATCGCTAGAGGGATGTGTCATAATAAGAGAGGAAAACCACATCGGAAGAAAACAAAGCGACGGGCATAGAAGCACCAGGGCTGAGACCGAGAGGCCTTAGGAAGAGTCGGTTCTAAGCGGTGAGCCAGGATGTCTAGGGCCGTGAAGTGGACGTGGAGATAACAGCCCAGGACAGGAATGGGTGGGGAAAAGAGGACACCAGGAAGGCACACCCCCCCACAAACAAGTGGGGAAAATGCCAAGGATAAGAAGGTGACACCAGGCCACACCACACCACGCCATTAACACCAAATCAAGCCACGTGATACCAAGCTATAGCAAGACAAACCCAGGCCATGTCGAAACAAGCCACAACCATGTCACGTGACAACACAGTGACGTCACACCACACAATGTCTCATCGCACCACCGACACGCAAAGCCACAACAACCGCATCACACCGCGCGACACAGTATCCATTCACAGTCACGCAAAAAGGAACGCCATAACCAGCCACGCCATTGTGTCATAACAACAAAAACAGAGCACAGCGAGCCACACACCACGCCATCAGACACCTCGGTCTCCCTTTCAGCGGCCGTGACGCGCATGTGTCGGCGAGACCCACCACTCCATGACGATGAGCAGGCACTTCTTGCTCTGGTGGATGTTCTCGTAGACCTCGACGATGCGCACGATGTGGGGGCAGCCCGACGCGCGCCAGTGCATCTCCACCTCGCGCCGCGCCTTGGGGCAGTCGAGCAGCATCTGCGGCCGACAAGACAGCGCACAGATCAGCTCAGGGTCACACTCCTCTCTCTCACTCTCTCACCCATCGTACCATCCTACTCTGTTAGTGCTGCTATCACGTGATCAATTCTGTCTTAAAACTTTGTGTTGTCGTAAACTTCTCACCGTCGTTAAGTTGCTTTCATGTCACTCTGTTATTGCTACTATAACACGGTGGGTGTTGTAAATGAACTTAGTGTGGTCGTGAACCTCTCGCCGTCGTTCAGCCGCTTCCCTGCCACTCCATTGCTACTATAACGTGATCAATGTAATCTTGAACTAGATGTTGTCATAACTTGAACTGCGTGTCGTCTAGATTGAAAACTAATTATTTCGGATTGTTTTTTCCATTCAGTTTGTTGTCCTTTCCCGTACTTCTGATTAGCACGGTTGGCTACGTACGATGCGAAAGAAGTTTAACATCCATACATACATAAACTTCTCACCACCATTCAGCGGCTTCGACGTCACTGTTATTGCTATTACAACATGGTCAATGTTGTAATGAGCTTCGTGTAGTCATGAACTCTGAGCTGTCGTTCAGCTGCCTCCTTGCCACTCTGCTATTGCTATGATAAAAGTCAATGTCCTCTCCGACTTTGCACCGTGATTTCTCCTCCCCCCAGCACCATGGACTATTCTGCCGGACCAACGACCGTCTCCTCTCCTCTATATCGATGCAAGGGCATGGCTAAGGAGAATAAATGGTGACATGTTAGCAAATGTTACTTCTCGGGGCAGACGAAAGGAAGTTATTTTGACATATATAACGGCAGCTAATCGGTTCCACCAATCGTGCCCTGTTATTGGCTTGTCGAAGAGGAGTCACCCTAAACACAGAGCACAAAGTTATGGAACGATACCCGTTGCTAAAAATTTAATTTGCATTTATGTGCTTGATTTACAGTGGCTTCCACCACATGTATGTTTGAAACATTAAAAACAAAACAAACGTATTTGCAAATAAATCAATTTAAATGTGTATATATATACACACACATATAGCAACAACCGTAACAGATTTGTTTCAGAATTCAAATGGCAAAAATAAGTCTAAAATAATATTGATAAAAGTAAAAAAAAACACTTTCTGTTAAACGGCACAATCAAGCATATGTCCTAGGAGAGGGAAAGGGGGTGGGCGTGCGCGACTTAGAGAGTTTATAGCTAAATCAGAGACCATTGCGATCGTGTGCAGATAGCCCAATGGTGACAAGTGCTTGCTTGCCCCACTCCTGGCAGAAGCGACTTCCATCCGAGGGCGCTCTAGAGCCTCCCCTCTGGACCAGTGAAGTGATCTTCACTAATTTTCAGAGGGCGGGGGGGGGTGGGTGGCCACTTTCACCGATAAGACATGGGTGCGAGGGCGGCCACACATTTTAAACTATCGTTGGGTGTGACAGCATTCCACATGATAAGACACTTTTTCGTTGGGCTATCATTTGTGCGCAGGTCGCTTCGGGGAAAATGAGCTATACACTTTTTCTTCTTGGTTCTTTCGGTAAAGTCACGTTAGAAGGGAAATAATAAAATAATAAAAATAAACCATAATAAAATACAATTCTCACGACGTTTCGGCCACAACGCAAGTAAATCAGTGGGCATAACCTGGTCAAATAAAACATAAGTTTAGTTTATGATGGGGTGTGCTTTCACATTTGTGTATTGTTGGGGGGGGGGGGGCGCACATCAGGGGCCACACTAAAGGCCACCAGAGGCCGACAGTGGCCCACGGGCCTTGCAATGAAGAACACTGTTCTCGAGGGTACTTGGCCTGCTCTTCCACGTTGGCCAGGAGTCTTGGAAGAGAAGTTTCATGAAAGCTTAGAATAAATACACGCAGTGCTCTAGCCAACAACAAGCAGTGTATTAGGAGAGCGTAAAAGGCGCAGACCTGCAATTACTTGCTCCCGTCACTGCCGGCGGAACGGTTTCAACTCGAGGCAGCTTTGTATATATGTTGAACTTCTTTCACACCGTACGCAGCTAACAGCGCTCATCGGAGGCGCTGCGTGTTGTTCAGCTCTCGTTAGAGAGCATCTCCAAAATAATAATTTTGGCCTGCTCTTTTGCTTTGGTCAGACTTTTTAACAGAGGTGACAGCGCTCATGCTCCACAAGACGCAAGGACTGTCGATTAACCAACTCTGGTGTACCCATTATCTTGGACAGAGGAGGAGGGATGATTTAAGACACTTGATGCGAATTTTTTAAAAGCTGTGAAGTTACGTAATGTGCATTACACGCAAATTAATCCAACACCATCTAAGATTGCGGGATTAAACGTTTTGTTGACAAGCGTTCATGATACGCATTCTTAATCTTGACACAGCCACACAGCGGGCGTTATGCCACTCTGACTAGGCACAATTACATAACCCGGGCAGCCTGAAAGCTGAGAGCAAACTCGCCCGAGAGATGTGTTTTGCATCAGCGAGAGCAAACGATAGATTTTTCGTAGAAATCACAAAGTGCGCAAATTAGTGGCCGTGTAAACATGGAAATGGAAATGCGAGCAGGGAGTGATAAACAGTTCAAGTGAAGAGTAAAGCCCGCGCGTTGCGAACGTTGACTTGTGCGTTGACGTGTGTGTCCCGTGCAAACATCGTCAGCTGGCCGCACGGCATGGGGAGGGTGGTGGGTGGGCTGGACCGTATCGTCCTCAGCGGTTTGACCTCTGCCACGTTTTCACGACCACTGGGGGAGCAATCCGTGCTGGATCGTGAATGGGTTCGTCCCAAATTCCCACAACAGTCTCGCCAGTTAACCCCAGCTTTTTTTCCACCGTACAACCGAGCTGTGCCGGCCCTGCCGAGCCAGCTTTGTGTGGCTCAGGAGGCGCTGGATTTATTTGTTTCACTTCGGAAGTAGAGCAGTACCACTGACAACACGCACAACTAATGAGCACAGCCGCGTGTAGATGAACGCGGTAACGCCGTGTTCTCACAGTTGTACCGACTGATGTCACACAATTAAACGAGTCACGAGCCTGGCCCCTGGGACCTACTTGGCCCCTAAGAGGCCATCGATTTAGTAGGTACGCAAAAATCTGTCAAAACTTGACCCCTTCCCCCCTCCCTGTACACACGCGTACTTTCTACACCCCCCCCCCCAATCCTATACAACGGCCAATATTTAATCCACGCAGAAACGATCAAGGATTAATAATATTAACGTGTTTAAGCAAACAGATCGTCCACCGCCGACTGTCTAACTCATTCGAAGGCCAATGTAGACAAATTATTATCGAGGCTTCACACCCGCCACCCCCCTCCATGCGTACGTACTAAATGGATGCCCCCAACCATATTTTCAGATATCTTGTGAGGCCAGGTTATCATGGTTTGGTTCTGGCTTGGCACGGCAAATAGCAAGTGGAAAACCACCCATAGCAAAAATCAAACATACCATGAGACCCTCCTCCACTGTGGCTCAACTTGGATGTGCCAGTCGGAAAGAAGTATTTATTTGTCCTTCGGGCCATTTAGTAATCTATAACTGAAGATTGCATCACTACAGCTGAGGGTTGTTTACGTCAGCGGCATTCTCTTCAGCCAAGGGCCGGATCACTTTCCACGCTTGCTGGTGAGTTGAAGAATCTGAGCCCTGCAGTTGTCCCTCAAAACTCGGGTCACACAAGCTAAGCCATAACTGGAGCCAAAAGGCAATCAGTGGAATAACAAGCGGCTCCCCCTGCAAGAGTGAACCACCCACATTAAATATATATATATACACTTGTTGTTTTTTGGAAGTCGTTGGGTAACTCAGGGGTCAGAGCACTGATCTGGCACAGTTGAGATTCTGGGTTTGAATGTGGCTTTGAGACACCCATAATTAAACTGTATTGTCATATATTCACTTTTATGGCTAAATTCCAGCTCTGATGATTTAATAAAACGTTGGATGGACTGCCTATGAGGACAAGTATCTGTAGCAGAGCATGTGGGAAAGTACAGTACACCGCTATTGTGTAAGTAATAAGGGTCACTTGTTCATCTCAGACGAAGTTCGAGAAAACCTACTTCCACGGGCTATTATCTATAACACAGGGTGATGGACTGCTCTGTGAGTTCGAATGGATATTTTGTTTCGTAACATGATGCCGATAGCCCAAACTGGAATACAAGTCAGAAAAGACAATAAGATTTTCCCAAAAAATAATGTTGCGCAGAGAAGCTAGAAAACACAGCTGACAATCGTCACCCATCAATAAAAGAATGTCACTTTCAACATCTAACAGTAAATTTTACACGACCACCACACTCATTTTTTAGTTAAAGCTTTCGTGACTGCAGGGATTCATATTCTTGGTTCTTTCGGTAAAGTCACGTAAAAGGGAAATTATCATTGTTTTACATTTTTTTAATTTTATTTCTCTTCTACGTGAATTTACCGAAAGAACCAAGAATATGCACCACACTCATTGCTGAAAACGATCATCTATGACCACAATTAACGCAGAAAATGTAACAGATAAACGTTTACTCAAATTTCTTGTTTGTAAAAAAAATTGTATTTCTACCAAACCTATTCTAACAGTTCTATGGGCAGCGTGACATGAGACAAAGACATTTCTGTTCGGAGAACTCTAGCAGCGTCACCACGTCTCACCGTGTCAGAGATCGGGCCCGGGAGATGACGTCATAGAACTACTTCTGGAGTTCCCTTCAATAGGCCTCTTCATCCAGAGGCACAGCTTTTCCATGCCCTGTGAAGACTGTTTTTTAACGTGGCAATCAAAACTAAAAATGTTTTAAAAATCTTTGGAGTTTTCAATACGCCGTACGAAGTGTCAATCGAAATTTAATGACTTGTTTTGCGGTTATACTGGGTGGGGAGGCGTTGCTGTGGTTGTAAGCTTACTGTAGTCTGGAAGCAATGGCATGGTTTTGATTCATTATAACCTTCATCATTTATTTGACACATTGTTTTAATTTCGCTTCTCTGAATTATGTTCTCTCAGTTTTTCCTCCCCTTGCT